GCAACGCGCTCGCCGCCACCCCGGCCTGCTTCTGCTAGGGTGACAGATGGCCTCACCTGTCACCCCCAGGCCTGCGCTTATGGAGGACGGAGGTCGTTTCTGCGACCTCCGGCGCCTGAGTGACCTGCGCTGCCTGGCCCGTGCCCGGGCCTGGCGGGCCGGGAGAGTTCTAAACCTCTCCCGGTCCCGCTCCGCCGTCCCCTTCGCGAGCATAACTTGCTCGCAGAAGGAGACGGCAGAGTTCCACGCACTCTCGCTCCGCACGATAGCCGCAATCAGGCTATCGAGCGAGAGAACTCCCACTCCGATGGCCGCCACGAGGTCTCGCCTCTGCTCAACCCACGCCGGGCACTCTGCCAGCGTGTGGAGAGCCGTGTCCACGGTCTGGCCATCGCAGTGGTGGCACTCAGGCGTTGGCTCCTTGCGGATCAGACACAGGTGATCTCCGAAACATCCCTTCCCAGTGAGCACCTGCGTCAATCGGTATGAGAGGGTCCCGTGAACGCCTCTCGAGCCAATCCTCCATAACGGGTCTTACCGCCGCAATGACGGCGTGCCCAGCGCTCGGTTGCCCGAGTCGTTCCCTCCACTCCCCTATGATGACCTGGCGGAGTTGGGATTTCCGGTCATCGATTTCTCGAATCTCGGGGCATCGACCCAACTCCTGCGCCTCCTTGCGCCACTGATACAGTGCCGCAAGGGCTCTCATCCTCCAGGTCCCACGGTGGAGTTCCGGCCAGGAGACTCGCTGCCTCAAAGGAGATCGTGCGGTACCCCCTTATGATCCTGATGGCCAGCATTCGCTGCGGTCGTCGCAGTATCGCGACCGTTGCTGGCCTTCAGGCCCCCGCCCATACCGGGCACCCGTAAAGGGCATGGACCGCACAACCCCCGAGTAGAGTCCTCCTGCAGGAGTCATCGGGTCCCTTCATGTTGGGCAGCAGCCGCGCCAACGCACGCGCTGCCCCAACCAACTTGGGGACCAGACCTCGGAAATGATATCCGAAGTCGCATCGGCATCGAGTACGAGCCCCAGATACCTGATCGAGGGCTCGATGCCGATGCGAGTGCCTCCTACCGTGAGGCTAGATCCCTCAGGCGGCTTCCCTCCGAAGCCCGTGGAAAGAACAGGGCCTCGGACTTGTGCAGAGCCACCTCGAGACCCAGCCCGCCGGATACGCTCAAACGACTTGGGCAACCCCGGCCGTTGGCCCTCAGGGTTGCCTCGTGGTGCGTCTTGCCGCGCGCCGTCACGAGTGGTGTCGTCCGCGTAGCACACGACGGCGACACCATCCAAGAAGGCACCACGAAGCACCCAGTCGTAGCCGATGTTCCACAAGAGTGGCCCTAACACCGACCCCTGCGGAACACCGCACGACATTTCACGCCTACCGAGACCGGTCCTACTGGGGTAGACGACGGATCTCTCCGACAAATATGCCCCGACTATGCGGCGGAGGTAGCGAGGCACTTCGTGATACACGAGCGCCTCCCTGATGCAGCTCCAGGGCATAGTGTTGAACGCGTTGGCGATGTCCAAGGACACCGCCAACACCACTTCACCCCGGGAGGACTGCTTCCTCCGCCAGAGCCTTCACGCGCATGATCGCAATCCACGGTGGAGCGCCCCTGACGGAAACCGTACTGGTTGTCCGCCAGATCCGGCCCAACCATCACGAGATGCTTGACGAGGCGCCTTGCAATCACTCTTTCAAAGAGCTTGCACACCTCGTCAAGCAACACTATGGGCCGGTAGGCGGACGGTGAGTCCGCCGGGCGCCCCTCCTTTCGGATGAGGACCAGTTTCCCCGTCCTCCATCATAGTTATCCCCTAATATTTACATGCGATTTTAGGATATTCATGACTTCTGAGTTTGAACTACACGGGTTTTAATTTATTTTAGATAGTTTTTCGTGCCATATACACACTTTTAAGCGACATCCTTTTGCAGTAGAACTAAAAATATACTCTCAAAAATTTTGTATAAAAGTAATACAGCTCAGGCTATAAATCTCGGCATAAAAATATCAGTGCTTTTAAAATAATTTACTTTTTTATCGTTTTTTTTTTCTAACTACTTCTTTGTATCTAGAAAATCGTTGATGGTCATAGGTGAGTGTTTAAGGAGTGTTTCAAATCAAAGCCTAATCTACTTTCTCTTTCGACAATATCTTCTTAACTTGAATAGCCCGCCTTACAGAGAGCGGGCCCAGCGCGTCCTCTCACAGAGATAAGGGAGACAGGACCAAAGAGATCCGCCATAGATATCCGCCGGCTAACAATTAACAATGAGACATTATACTCAAGAGTAATGCTGCCGATAATTACCAGGCCATACGAATTGTAGGCAGTTAACTTATTAATGCTCGTCGTACGCTCTTATTAATTCGTTTTTAGTAAAACATTTTTTAATGTTCGATAATGATGTAAATTATCCGTTTTAATTCAAGTAAGTATATAAAGTTGTTTTTTTATTAACTTTAGGTTTTTGTCTGAGGTCCAACGTCCGTGTTGGTGTTTCTTAGATAATAATTTACGTTTGATTTACACGTAAGAACTTTACACAATCTGTACAAATTTTATCAAATAATAACCTATCAAGTATTGATATCATGTGTATGTATAGGAAAAAATATATTTTAAATAGTATAAAAGATAGTAGATAAAGAGTATGCTGATTTGTGAGGTAGTTTTGTTACTTTAAACACTATAAAATTTACAAACGAAAGCTAAGTGTATTCTAATTATCTTCTTCTTCAACTTTTACAGAAATCACTTGCAAATTATTTGTAATCGACTTTCTTTTCTAATTGTGACCAGTTGTATTTGTAACATTACTCTGATTACATTCATAGTACTTCAATCTTAAATTAAGAGCTTTTCAATCGATACCTATTACCTCCTCTACTCTTAATTGAAAATACTAATCCCAACAAGTAATCGTGGCTCGTCGAGCGGCCTCACGCCACTCGTGTATCTCTTCGAGCGGGAGCCGACTTCTACTATCTGTACGGAACTCATCCGTCCGCCGATATACTTCACCGATCACTTCCACCTCCAAATACCACGGGGAAGTACCGGCCAATGCGCACGTCGCCTCCGTCGAAACAGTGCTCTAACCGCCAATATCCTCTGAGGGCGCCAGAGGTGTGCCCAATTCTGAGCGGTTAGAGCCGCCGCCCACACCGCTGCACCGTACAGTGCCATTAACTGAACTACGCCTGTATACAGCAGTCTCGTTGCGACGCTGGGTTCACCCAAAGTGGGTAAAAGTCGCCCTAGGGCAGACGCAGCGCCGACAACTTTAGAGCAAGCTGTCGGAAGTGCTCGTCGAAAAGCCACCTCCCGTCGAGGATCCGACCCAGATATTTCATCTGGGCCTGAACCGGTACGAGGACCGAGTTGACCACGATTGAGGCTCTAGGGGAGCATAGAATAAGGGGGCCTCCGTCTTATCCAGAGCCCGTAAGCGCAGCGCCTCAATGCGCCCGACCACCTGTGAGACTCCCGTGGTGGCTAGACGCGAGTATTGGCAGACTATTGAATGCGTTTGCGATATCAAACGACACCGCCAATAGCACGCCGCAAGTTTTATCGCCTCTTCGGTCACGGTCCTAAGCGCAACAAAGCATCCATCGTAGAATGCCCCGCTCGAAATCCGAATTGGGCGTCTGACAGATCAGACTCGCTTAAGTGCCGAACAATGCGGGCAGAGAGGACCCTCTCAAAAAATTAAATTTACCCGCCTCGTCCAGCAGCACGATGGGCCTGTAGGCCGCGACCGAATCTACAGGCCGTCAAGGCTTCCTCAACAGGACCAGCTTCCCGCTTTTCCAGCACTCAGAGAAACGTCCGGACACCAAACTAGCGTCGAACACCTCTCCTAGGAGGTCTGACATATGGTCGAAGGCTAGGCCCAGCACTCGAGCAGGTATCCCATCTGGCCCGGGGGCGGTGTTCTTGGAACGGATCCGTAGCGCTCCCGCCAGTACCTGTGCACCCATGATGAGCAGAACATCATCCCATCCATCCCATCATCGTCATCATGTAAGGGCATATCAGAGGTTTCCTGAAATAGAGTCAGGCTATACCAAAACTGATAGTGCAACACATTTGAACTATATATCTAAATTCTTTGATAGTCGTAAAATCTATACTGATATTATAAAGCTGTTTTTTTTTAAATAAATTGGGATTTGACATACAGATTTGAAGACAACAATTTAGAATACCAACTCAGGCCTGCGTGGTATAGTAGGCTAAAACCTCCTTTCTAATAAGAGGCCTATATCCAGCAGTGGACTATTAAAGGCTATTGATTATGATGATGATGAAAGTTTATTTGTTTAATTGATTGAACCCGCTAATCTCAGGTTCGAATTTCTACTGGTTCGAATTTAAAATTATTTTTATTTTGGATATTCACTTATCAGGGAAGGCTTTAGGCTATATATCATCACGCTACCACCAATAGGAACCGATCATCGATGAAAAATATTGCAAAAACGGGGTAAACTTATTCCTTTTAAGAGACGCAGACGAAGTTGCGCGGGTTTTTTTGTTTCATGTTGGATGGGGCAAACAAGCAGACGGGTCACCTGATAGAAAGTGACCATCGTTGCCCATGAACGTCTGCAACACAACGGAGTCACAAACGCGTGGGTCAGCCAGTAGAAAATAAATATGGGAAAATCGGAGGTATATTAAAAGAACTTTGTTACAGAAGCAAAGGCAGTGAAGAAAGGTTTCTTCCACAGATGGATTAGGGAATGTAAGTAATAGCTCGAGCAGATCAGAGTCGCAAACCACTCACAGTGTTTCCATAAAATATGGATCATTCTGACAGTTTGCACTTATCATAATATTTACATCAATAATTAAAATAATGGTCACGTCCCTTGATAAGTGATATAAATTGATTGCGTTATAAATTAATTCATACATCATACATTTAGTTTTAGTCAGTTTCTTGTATTGGTTATAGCACATTGTATTAAAAATGAAATGCGGACTATTTTTGTTAGTAGTATGTCTAAATACTTTTTTTGTTAACGCGTATTTTGAAGTAGTGGTGCCCGACAGTCAACATGCTTTAGACTTAAATCTTTTTGAGGAGGTGTTGGATCCAGAGCTTTGTGACGAACATAACAAATACATAGCGAATGATACATTTCTTTTGTTTAAATGTAAGTCTCTATTTACATATATTTTATTGTTTATTTATGTGTCTTTTTGACACAGAAAAATAACCCACAAATTTTTTCCTCAAGGTTTACCTAGCTGTAATAATCCTAGGTGTATCCAAATCAAATTTGCTATCACAGATAATAATAGCTTATGCTTCCTTTAGCTTATGTTTCCTTTAGATAAATGAAAAAATATAGTACCTACTTGTAGCGAGGGATCTATTCTTATCTTTCTTGTAAAGTTGTAAAGCCATTTATATATCTGATTTTTTCAAAATATTGCGTAAAATATCAAATCTCACCAAAAACACGTTCCAAAGGTCGCGGGTTCGATTCCCGCTCAAGATCAACATTTGTGTGCATGAAGTTCTGTTTGATTTGGTCTGGGTGTTTCTATGTATAATATGTATGTAGTTACAAAAAAAGTAAATATGTATTTATATCAGTTATGCAGAGCAGAGCTTGTACTATGGGTACCAGACCCATAGTACAAGCTCTGCTTAGTTTGGGACTAGATAGCGTTGTGTGAATGTAGTCTACTTCTAACTTTACTACTGACAAACTTCTAAATTTCTGCAGTGAAAGTTGATTTATGGCATATCATTAAGTTCGAATTAAAAAGTGAACCGTAGCCTCAGTATCTTTCTATTAGCGCACTTGTAAAGTGTTTTCGTGCGATTGAAGTAGAGACGATAGTTGTAAGCCCTTACTAAGAAGAAAATATTGGAGGGGCTGAAATAAGGGATGAACGATTTTACAGAAGTATGTCATTTTCAAAGTCAGAAACACCAAATTTTGTAGACCTGCTTTTGGTTACAAGTAAATGTATACACATGTAGAGCGGTATTGCAAAAATTTACCCATAAGAGAGAAAATTAGGGCTTGTTAATTTATATGAGGCTTGCGTTGACTTTAAGATTGAAGTTAATTTTGTTTCTTGTTACAGTTTTCGATGCTGGCACTCGAACTCCTAGGGGAATACTCACTGGCAATACACAAGACCTCGGTAATTACTATCAATGTCTTGGTATTAAACAAGAAATACCGAATTCGGTCATCGAAGGAAAATATTGTATGATAAGCCTACCTCTTGAACAAAATATACAGTTGCCGGACTTACCAGATTTACCAGATATACTCTCGCAAGCTTTACCTGCATGGGAGTTGATTCATAGCAACCGTAGAGTTAATGATAAAGTAGTGAAAAGCTTGAATGAATATAATGCACTAAAAACTGGAGTTGATGTGGTTTTTGGAGGACTAGGAAATAAGAGTCTTGGCAGGTATATATACGAGTAAACATATATTTTTAGTTTCTAGTACATGAATTCATTTTATCATAATACTTACTTACTTACTTTATAATAATACTACTGTGTCTGTCTGTCAAGACCCTTTAACTCGGGAACGCGTGGAGGTATCGAGTTGAAATTAAAATGATATACTCAGGTCAGGTACAGTTTCTTGAAGCTGTGAAAAAATCATACTTCTAAGTTAACGTAAGAAAAAGATACGCCCGTTTATGCTTCAAAAAACGTATATTTCGACACTCTTAAATCATAAGAAACAGGGTCTTTATGCAAGGAATGGCAGTTCATATTTTAAATTGAGTTAACAGTGTTTGCACAAGCTTAAACAGATTTTTAATTATTGTTATGATGTACAATTATCGATTTATGAAAAAAAGTACCTGCAAATTTATACGGAACCCTTGGTGGGCGAGTTCGACTCCCACTTGGTTTTTTTAATGTTAATTATTCTTGTTCGAAAGGCAATTTGATGGAGGGTATGTCTTAGCTAAAAGTCAATAATACTATTGAGCCGTTTTAGAAGGAAATTTGGAGTATTTCATTGTTGTAATTTATGCTTTTATTCAATGTTTATATCGTAGAATGATTATAGAGATTCATTAAATACATAGATCACGTAGTTTTCGCGTGATAAAAAGATACGTAAAAAATCAAACACTTAGATTTAGATTAAAGTATAGATTAACAATTAGTTCTTGCTTTTCTAGAATAATATTAAAATGGCAGAGTTAACTTATCATAATTTTTTTAAGGTCTACCGACGTTGGCTTTCTCAGCGCTCTTTCTTTAAACCTTGCAATTTGTCTGCCGAAAGTATGTTCAGCAAATAATGCATTAGATACGTTTGTTAATATAACTGATCTTGGTTTTCACTACGAGGAGCGTTTCTGTCGCCTTCCAAACGACAAGCCTTGGGTAGCTGGAGACTACGTAGCGATGTAAGTAAAAATATTCTATATATTTCACTCTCATCATTCCCTTTATGACAAAACCACACTCATAGAAAAATTGTCTCATTTTATGTCTTTAATCGCGCATAAACTAATTTCATCACCAGCCCACTCCTGATCACCATCTGTGCAATTCGATCGAAATGTCGGGTAACTAAAAAATTTAATACATCTTATGGTTATCGCGATTAAATTCCGAATTACACGCATAATATAATCCCAAACTCACTAAATCACTAAATGTCTTAACTCACAATTAAATGTCTTAACTCTATAAATAGCCCCTGGTGGAGCGACAGCTGGTGGATATATTTACAAAAATGCATACAAAATCGCACCATTGGTACCTAGTACACAGTCTTCATCATTTGAATAAACAGCTTTCCGCAATTATTGTCGGTACTAGTGTCATTTCGTCAATATACTCGACGCTCTCAAGAAATGCATGGCGTTGGCATTCTTAGTGTTAAGTTTGATCGGTGGATTTGGTTGGTGGATTGCAAAAAAAAAAAACGATACACCGTCTCTATTGTGTAGTTGTTAAGGTAAATTAAAAACAATTGAGTTTTACTCCAATCAAAATTGTTTTTATTTCGCAGAGCAATCTTTTCTCTGATCGGTCTGCTTTCAATATTGAGCACGGCCTACGACGTTCGTTATAATATTTTTCTCCAAAAAGGTGAGTAAGCGTAAGTAAGCTTTGTACTTCTACGAGTATGTTATCTTAACTTAACTTCTATCCGTGTGCTAAAACCTCCTTTCTAAGGAGAGGCCTATGTCCAGCAGTGGATTATTATAGGCTGTTGATGAAGATGATGATGTTAACACATTCCTTTCCTATGAAATCATTGCCAAATTACTAATTATAATCTTTTAATTTCTTGATTAATTAATACTAGCGTTTAATTCATTTCAAGATTTCATAAGCTTTCTGGTACTTATTCTATTTAAAAAAGTATGAACTGCAGTAGTCTAAGCAAGAGCAGGACTTTTAGTTGTTAGTGCTCATATCTCGTAAACCGATGGACTTTAAAAGATAAATCCGATATAAAAATGTAAGAAATATTTCACGATACAATACATAATAATTTCCGTATCGCAGCTGATAAGTAACGTATTTTCATATATCTGTTTAAGTCATTATAATAATCTGTTTAAATCATAGACATTGTATTCATAACAATAACAATATCATACGGGGCGCGGTAGTGTCCCCGCCATAACGAGCCAAGCGAAGCACCAAGCTACTTATTTTTTATAAGGTGTAGAGCAGGGATTTCCAGGGTTCGACATTAACGAAAACTTATTTTGGGGGTCGATAAGGTCTAAAAATCAACCTCTATGAATTAACACAAGTTCTTATTTGAATCTTTCAAGATTCTGTATTAGTGGTGTTACGTGCCCACTTGTAATTAGAATGCCTAATATTTCAGTAGGAAGTTTCAATGTTGTGTTTTAAAAAAACTCAACAAGTTGATAAGCGTGCAGTAATTTTGCAATAGAAGTTAGTGTGGTATCAGTTTATTGTAGAAAAGGGATTTTGAAAAAGGATTTGCCCAAAAAGTTATGGAACCCCTGAGGTAGAGTTTGTGAAGTTAGAGCTTATAGGGTTAGGGCAATTTTACATGAAAATATATTTGGTGGGATAACAATTACCGTTATTGAGTGAAACCGAAGTGAAAAGAAGTTATGAAACCAAGCGTTAATTAAAATTATTTGAACAAAATCGTAATTCTGTTATCTATTATTATTCGATTGTGAAACCAAACATTACAAGTTTTATATAAATTGATTAGACTATGAGTATGTCGTAACATGTATTAGTTTAAGTTTAAATTGAAGTGTCTGTTTGTAAATATCATAATAATAGATGATCACACGGTTATTGGCACTATGCCTATGCCTAAAAACTAGTTTAAATATTTTTTGTCTGTCTGTCTGTCTGATTGTTCCGGGTAATCTTTAAAACGGCTGGACTGATTTTGATCATATTTTACTACTAGGTAGATATCTCTATAAGAAGTAACTCTCAGAAAAACCCTAAAAAAATTGCCGTAAATCGAACCCGAGGCCTAATCGACTGCTGTCGTGTCTATACTTCAAATTTCACGCGAATGAAGTCGCGAGTACCAGCCAGTCTGTAATATGTAGAGTTTGTTTATTTGTTTATTGTTTATTAGGATCAGACGGCCGTCTGTGAGATGTGTCGAATTATAGTTATAAAAATATCATAAAATCGCTATGGTATTTTTTTGTTCCAGACCCGAAGAAAGTGAATAAGCTGTACCAGTCTTTCTCAGTGTATAATAATACAAATCGTCTACTCACAATTACACCCGTGCCTGGCGCTATAGAATGTTTAGACGGTATTCGATCATTCGCAATGATGTGGGTCATTATTGGTCATACATTTAGCACCCAAATAGGCAGCGGTATTGTTGCCAATCAGTTGGAAATTTTTGAGGTGATTATTAGTGTGGTATAAAGTTTCGTCGTGGCAGTTTTTTTTAAAATAAATCTATCTAGTGTGAAAAGCCGAGGCTTTGCTTTATAGTCACCAGAATTAGCAACATCTTAGATAAAATTAGAGATGTGTAAAAATTTTATAAGCCAAGAATGTGGGACGCTATCAAACGCTTTCTTATAATCTATGTAAGTGCAGTGTGAGTTTCTGTTTTTTGTAGTAGCATGTTTATGGATAATAGAGTCTATGATCAGCTGTTCCTTGCATCCCATGTGTCCTCGCCTGCATCCTTTTTGTTCTTCTGCTATTATGTCATTGTGTTCAACGTGCGTATTAATCTTGTGGGCTATTGCTGATGTAAGAATTTTATATTATGCTTTTATAGGCGCACACTATGGATCTTATTTTAAGTTTTTAGGTTTCAGTTTAGAATTTTTGTTTTTGCCGTATCTTGAGTGACAGTTAAGATCACAGGATTCGTTGGCATGATAAAACAAATCTGTTATTGTTGTTATACGATCTAACTTTCTAGTGTGATGCTGTTTATCGAACTCTTTTTGGCAACTCGGATTTTTTCTAATATTAATACGTATTTTTAGTGGATGATGTCGTTGGAAGCTGTATGGCTTATGGCAGCACCGATTACGGTGGACACTTTTTTTCTACTAACCGGCCTTCTTGTGGTGTATACTACGTACGGAAAAGTAACACCCAGTAAGTCTTCTCATTCATATACTACTATTGATAAGATAATTGTGTCAGCGGTATTTAAAATTCTTATTCTACACTCGTTTAGAAATGTGAAAAGAAATTTAACTTAACGGAAACATTATAATACAATTATGATTTTGGCACTTCTGAACAGCCCTTAAAATATAAGGACACCTTATTCTGAATTTCTGCAACCTCAGGTGTATCAAAATCTGATTCTCACTAAAGACAATTTCTTTTTTACAGTAAAACTTCTAAAGAACCTCCACTTATTCTATTTGAACAGAATATTCAGGATATTGCCGGTATTATGTGCAATGATTCTATTACAAGTTTCTTTCTTAAACTGGGTCGTAGATGGACCTTTTTGGGAGGCGAAAATGGGTCACGTACATCATTGCAGAGTTTACTGGTGGTCTACCATACTACATATACAGAATTTCTTAAATCCCAGTGGCATGGTGAGTCTCAGTTTGTTCTTGCTAAGGCTATACTTACGAATGAGCATGTTATGTGTGTTATTTTGTAACCAATAAGAACAGTGTTTTCTCAAGATGGAAGGTTTCTTTGTCCTTTTCTAGAACCCGGGCCAGAACGGTCAAAATGTTAAAGCGTATAACTATAACATAAATAAACTTAGTATCGAATTTGTAATATTACCTACTTAATAATATGATAATTTGATGTCATCCCAATTTCAAAAAAAAGATGTACATTTCTTGACTAAACTACTGCAATGTATACCGCTACAACTCTTAGCTATACGAAATTGGTAATTATTGGGATCTCACACTTGCAAGTTGAATTCGATCGCTGTACATATTTACTCCATTCGCCGTCAGAAAATACTAGGAAACTTTGACAATACCCACTTTTACCTCTTTAGTTAGAGATCAGAGGTTGGCACTGATTTCAAATTCACAGAATACTAGTAGGTATGTAGTGTTACTTTGCCCATTTGTTACATACTTATTATTAATATTATTTAGTACGTGGATGATGATATTAGATGTATTTAAGTACCAGGTCGGTACTCAAAAGCGAGTTATCATCATCGGACAAGTATATGGAAATTCTTTAATTTTCTTTTCAATGTGAAGTGTGTTATCTTGCGTTACTTCCGGTTCATTATGGCTTAAGGGAAGTGGCTCGTTATCACCGGAGGTTCTATCACTGTTTACTGTTATATACAATTAATACAACTTATTGATTTACAAAATATAAATTAAGAGAAATAGTAAAGTTGTTTTCACCTAGTTTTGTTTGTTTCAGTGCCTCTCCCCCTCGTGGTACTTGGCCATAGACATGCAACTTTACATTTTATCGCCAATCGTACTAGTGTGGGTGTTGACTGGAAAAAGACTTATCGCCTGGACTGCTCTATTAGTTAGCCTGATAGCCGTGTTGAGTGGCGCCACGGTCTTTAACTTTCAAAATAACTTTCCGTTTTCACCTGTTACACCATCGTAAGTACCATATTAAGTCTTTACCTATGAAGTTGTAGATTTGTATGACACTTTAGAATATAAAAATTTTGGTAATTTTTTTAATTTAGAAAATTAAAGTAACCAAATTATATACAATTTTGCCATTTTGATGACAGTTTGTGTCCTTTTACTGTAGAAGTGTCATGGACGGGAGGCGATGAAGTTAGCGATAAGGTTAAAAATCTGTTCGGGCAAGGTCCAGCTGTAACTCTTGTAGCTTTGCGATGGTCTGTCTTGTAGTGTAAGCTCGCGCCTTGCCGTGGAGAAGTAATGGGGTAGAGCGATTGACCAGTCGTGGTTGTTGAATTACGAGCTTATTTGCAACTCTCAGCAATAGACATCTGCCGTCACTGTTATGCCATTTGATAAGAAGCTATGATTTACAAGTTCAGCACCATCATCTTCGTATGGGTAATCTTTTTTTAGCGCATTGATTAGATGCTGTACAGCGGTCCATCCACTGAGACGAACGCTTCCGGTTGTCGTACAGGATCCACTTTTAGCTTTCACTTATCTAGCTTTTTTTATCTTTCCGATTTGACGCAAGTGCTTCAATGTTGTTTTGACACTAACTCCAAAGCCCGAAGCGAGCTCAACCGTAGATTGAGTTGGATCTGCTTCCACTATCGCCTTCAATTCCTCGTTGACGACTTTAGTTACCGGCCGACCGCGAGGCTCGTACTTCTACTCAAAATTGCCAGAACTAAAATGATTGAAACAATAATGGACCGAATTTTTGCAGCAGTGTTAGGTCGTTATACGTGATACACGTCGTTAATGTTTCGAGTAATTTGTGGAGCGGTATTTCTGCGTAGGAGCTCATATTCGAAAATTGAATTCGAATTTTATATATTTATAGTTTATCTACGAGTATAAAACCAAAAACAACCACAATTTTACTATAATAAAACACCGTCTAAAACAAATGTCAGAATTTTAAATTAAAATAACTTGGCTTTCGAAAAAATTTTATTAATCCACAGATAATTAACTTAGAAAATGCTGGCTTTAAAACTGTATTGGATTCTCAATAAAACTGTCTTAGTCGCAAACGCAAACACTAATGGGCTAACACCTGAGTCACCTTTAAATACTCAAAAATTAAGATTATATTCAGAGATAGTACACGTGGATATCAAAACACAAAAAGTTTCTTTCCATATTTATTTTTATCTTTTACTAATTTTGATATTAATTTTCAGTCGTCCTCCAGAAGACATTATTTACTACATGGAATATTACTACACAAACACATTAACAAGAGCTTCTCCTTTCTTCGTTGGTCTCATATTCGGATACCTGCTGTCTATCTACCGCGAAAAAACTAATGTTTTAAATTGGGTAAACTATTAATTCTTTATTACCATAAAATTTTACCGTCTAATCAGAATAAAAAACTCAAAGCATTTGTGTATAATGTGTAGTTTTATATTGTAATGTGATGTTATAATATAAACTTCTAAAAACGTCTGAACAAAGACGAAGAAATTAGATTAATTTTACGAAAATTTTGTATGAAAATACAAATGACATAAAAAACACAGATGATTATAGTACAAATTATTTATGATTTTATGTCATACTCCATATAACGTTTTTTTTTCTAATCATCTAAATATTTTAATTGATTTTTACATCTGAAACGGTTCCTTTTAGTGTCCAAGTTAAGAACATCGATATGAAGAATGTTATTAACTAAGATTAAGAATTAATAAATAAAGAAAGAAAAAAATGAACTAGTACGCTTCTTCTTTTCTTTGTTCGTTTGCCGAGTTAGAAATTCTTGGATTTTCTCTATTATAATATGTCTATTATAATATTCTAAACCTTCCTCTTGAATCACTCTCTCTGTAGTTGAAAACCGCATTAAAATCCATTGCTTAGTTTATAGGATCTAAGCGTACAACCAAAAAAGCCACTTTATTTTATACCATGTAAAGAAGATTTATATTTTCAGGTGACTGCTGGAATCCTCTGGTTCGTCTCGGGCTTTATAATCCTCGGTACAATATTTATCACGTATCCATTCATGCAGTTCGACTGGGACAACCTACTCATTGACAATTTAGTCAACTCGTTCATGAGACCCGTCTGGGCTGCAGGAGTGGGCTGTCTTATATTTGTTTGCGCGCACGGATACGGCGGTAAGTCGACCTTTATAGTACAATCTAGGGTTTAATCCCAGTAGTTCGATGAAGACAATTCCACATGGTACTGATGTAACATTAAAAATACGATGTTTATCCCATTTGTTCCATGTAATTTTATACTACTTTTACAGCTGACATTGATTATATTTTTTTTTAAACAAAGAAAAGCTCGGGCAAACTATGGAACGTCAGAAAAAAAATTAATGACTATCTATTTTACTCATATAAAAAAATCTGTAAGAGAGGTGATGTTGTACATGGAAAAAAATGTATGGAACTAGTGGGTTGCAAAAGTTCCATGTGGAACTGACTCCATGGAACTACTGGGAATAAACCAAATCTAGAGCAGTTGAGCTATTCAGTAAAAAGAAAATGAATAAAAATGTAGATAGGCGTTGGCAGGTGTCAAAATAAAATCCGATATTCCAAATCTATCCATTTATGTAATCGAGCCATTTCAATTAAAGTAAGACTAACGAACAGCAACAATATAAGATTGCTTCGGTTGATTACATCGGTTGCCCATTTTTCTCAATCACGGTAGCTTATCCTATTTAAGAACATGGTGGCTATTTAATAAACATTAGCCATGTCTCAGTTGAAAATACTAAATCCATGCTAATATTTGTTGGACAGACTACATATTTTATGGGGTGGATAAAAAATTATCCATAACTTATACTTACCACATTTGTATCGTTACTTCTATTATTTATATATTATCCATTCTAACTAATTCTTTGTTCCTTTTCTGTTCTTAGTTAAAGTTAATTCACACAAGTTTTTTTCACATTCGGAAACAAGTGTACTCCTCGTGGGTGAACTGTTAGTGGAGTCTATGAATTATTGCAATACAGTGGTGTCAATTGTGCTTCGTCTATTCAGTCTTATTCAGTTACTAAATAATTCATTATACTTTCAGGTATTGTTAACTGGATATTATCACTCAAAATGTTTAAAATATTGGGACGTCTATCGTACGCGATGTACATCGTACACTATCCATTGATGGTAATAGTCAACGCCATGCCCGTCTCGCTTATACATTTCAGCATAAGTACCATCCTTGGTAAGTGACCCCTTAAGCACTTTACTTAAACTAGTGATGGAATAAAATCACAATCACATGTGATAATCATTAAGAAGCATTTAATCACACTTGTGACTAATTTACAAAACCACTGCAACTTAATTATTATTTTAACGCTAGCGTTAGACTCGCAAAAGGTCTAATCTAAAAAAAGGTCGTAATCTTTGAAAAAAATCATTTTGATTGATTTTAATGCCGCTTATTTTTGCCCATAACGACATCACAATCACATGCGAAATCACTGTAACTAAAACCAAGGTTTCATCAAATGAATAAAGTTGAAAGTTATTTTTTAATCCCAAGAGAACAGGTCCTTCTTCTTTCTTTCTACAATAAAAATACAAACTCACTTTCATAGTTAGAATTCTCCTTTAATTGTATAGAAATACCCATACCTCCATTTATAGGGAGACGGTCGAGGATTTACACAACATAAAGTTACTTGTGCCTTTTTAGTGTCTGTCTAGTATAAAAGGTGGCGCCATTAAACATTGTTCATTCACGTTCCTTTTTTTAATAATAATAGTTAATGCCCTATCTCATCAAGTCCTAAGTTCCCCAAAGCGTTGCCTTGACCAAAGTCTACAGTCGCCGAAAGAATTACGTATCCATTTGTTTATCGAAATGTAATAACTAAAAAATATTTACTCCGAAGTTGGTTTAGTGCTGCCATCTGTTGTAAACTTATGTAACAGTTTCAAAAGGTTACCGAGATGCCAGACCTAGTTTTGAAACCATATAGAAAGATGTCGTTGTTTTCCAAAAAAAAAAACAAATTCAAACCAAAAATTCAAACTATGCTTGTTATGCATCTTATACAAATCTTCACATTTAAAACACTATTAAGCTATAACTAAGTCAGTTTCACACCAAGAAAGGCACAACGAAGCTACGTGACTGAAAGAACGCTTATACACCCACCACAAAATCTTTTGATTTTGGCTCTATATAATCGAACTAATCAAACTCCTAAGCCCTAGTTGAATTTATCCTAAATATGTGACAAAGACTTAGTGGTTGTAAGCTAAAAATATATAACTATGTGCCTAAAATAGGCACATCGCTTATTTTTATTTTTTATTTCTTGTTACTAATTGTATGTACTTGTATATGTATGCTATGTATATGTATGTGGTCTAATATTATTCGTACGTCGTAACAAATTGAAATATATACCTGCCACACACAGCTCTGCACCACCCAAAGGTTGGCTGGAGGAAAATGCCTATAGCATGAAGTCGTCGCCTTATGGATTACACTACAAACAGTAATTATTATTCGTAGTGTAATTAACATTATGCAGAAAGTTTGTTTAAATAAATTACTAGCTTTGTAATTAAGTGTCATGTAAATTTTTGATTCTAATCTAAACATTGATCTTTTATTTCTCGGTGACGTGTATTTATTTGACTTTTAAGTATAGGTAAGAAATAAAATATAGAATGTCTGTTGCAGCTGCTACTGTTCCTGGCTGATTTCTCGTTAGCTTTGATGGTTGCGTTCCTCATGACAATATTTGTGGATCTACCTTGTTCTGTCCTGGTGAAGCACTTCATGGGCGGCAGTAAGTTGTTACTGTTAATAAACCGTACTATAAATAGGCACTGTCTTTTAGATAGCTCGTAATATTAAGACACCTGTTTGACGATAAGGTTATCCTAATCGTAAAGCATCTGTGGTTAAGGATTTAATACCGTTTATTAATTTTTCCATTTCCTCCGCTTTTTTTATTTTAGTATTTACCTAGTTACAATGCCAATATGTATTTAGGTACTCGTATCACATAACGATTTCTCATAGATAAACCTTGCCACGGATATTATCGAATGTAAATAAGACTGGTTTATGGTTAACTAATACTTAAAAGTCGGCGCTGAGTCTGCCCTTGGTCAACTTTTTCTCAAATTGGGTGGACCCAGGCACCGTTGCACAGAACAGTGAATAAACACGTTTATTCACTATTCTGTGTAGCGTCGCGTACACTGGGGTTGTCCGGTGAATGGCACAGTACGTTGCAGCGGTGTGCGATAGCTCTGACCGCCCAGAATAGGGGGCGCCTTCGGCGCCCTCAGAGGATATTGGCGATTAGAGCCATACGCGGTTTTCGCACTGTGTCGACGGAGGCGTCGTCAGAACTCCCCCGTGAGATTTGGAGTCGGAGGTTTCCGAAGAAGTTTATCTGCAGATGGCTGAGTTCTGTTCGGGTAGCAACATTCAGGCACGGCACGAAGAGTCACCGACAAACCGGCGCCTCATGTCACCCTGAGTGTAGCCGCGGGTGGACGAAGGCGACACAGGTCTGGCACACGCGTCGTCGCCTGCTCGCGGCTAAATAGACAATGTACCCGAAGGTGGTGCCCCGCGCTGATGCGGGCAGGCGCTGGGAAGGGTCCGGATGTCTTATTAATAGCAGTTTCCAGATCTCCTCTATTCCAGGCACAGAGTGGCACACCGGGTGATTTTAGTCGGTTCGAATCCGACACACCACCCCGCCGCAAACCCCGGCCCCGGTGACGGCTTGAGGGGGTTTCCACACTTAAAAAATATTGTTAATTAATACAAGATTATATTTATAATATTTATAATATTGCTATGGACACACAAAACTTTAGACAACGTTCTCGTTCTTTTAAACGGACTTTGTATAGTCTGTAAGTAAACCCCATTTGTGTTAGATAATAAAAATAATAATAAGCCCTTTATTCTGAATTATCTAAATACAATACTAAACAGTTCATAAGATTAGTCTATAAAATATCTCGCAATTCAGAGTGCCTCTTGGCATAGGCCTCATCTAGCACTTTCCATTGGGTTCTGTCTTGCGCTACCCTTCTCCAGTGGTGCCCAGCTGTTAGCCTCAGGTCATCTGCCCATCTCGCTTGTTGGCGTTCACTATTACGTTTGCCATCTCTGGGGTACCAGTCACAGATAGTCGTACTCCATTTGCCATGCCTGTCTCTAATTATGTGTCCGGCCCATCTCCACTTCATTTGGTCTATTCGAGTGAGAATGTCAGTAACTTTAGTTTTTTCTTTTATTTCACTACTTCTTATTTTGTCCATCCTCCTTGTTCCTGTCATGCTTCTCCCCATGGCCCTTTGACAACGTTCCAGTTTAGCTCTGTGGAGTTTGGTGACTGCCCATGTTTCACAGCCATAGGTAATGACTGGAAGTATGCAGGTGTTGAAAGCCTTTCTTTTAGTAGACATGTTTAGCTCGTTTGACTTCATAATTTCTTTCGGCGACCAGTATTTTTTCCATCCATTTGCTATTCTTCTATTCATTTCTTTAGTTGTTTGTTCTTCGTGAGAGATTTTTTGTCCTAGGTAGATATATTCCTGTACATATTCTAGTGGTTGGTTGTCCATTTCTATAGGTGTTACTTCAGAGTTTGTAAGCAATTTTGTTTTACTCATGTTCATGGAGAGGCCCACCATACTACTTTCCTCATTAAGTGATTTTATCATTTCTAGGAGGTGCATCGGATCCTATTCAAACAGGATTATATCGTCCGCAAATCTTAGGTGTTTTAGTTTAGCACCGTGTATGTTTAGGCCAAAGCCATCCCAGTTCAATTTTGCGGAAGATACTTTCTAAAACCGCTGAGAAGAGTTTCGGCGACAGAGGGTCTCCCTGCCTTAGGCCCCTCATGATCTTGAACTTTTTACCTAGGGTTTCTAGTTGTAATCTAGCTTCGGTGTTTGAGTAAATGTTCTTGATGATTTGAATGTACTTTGGCGAGACCCCTTGTTGTTCCAGGCTCTCCCATTTTGCTTTGTGATAAACACTGTCGAAAGCTTTAGAGTAGTCGATGAACGCCATATATAGGTGTTTATTATATTCGTTGTATTTCTCTACTATTTGTTTCACCGTGTGTGAAACCAGCTTGTTCTTGTGATTGGTTTTGATCGAGCGTTTTGCTTATTCTTTGCAGGATGACTTTGGTGAATACCTTATATATGTTTGACAGCAGACTTATGGGTCTATAGTTCTCTATATCTTCTTTTTGACCTTTTTTGAATATAAGGATGAAATGGGATGTTTTCCACTGCATAGGTATTTTTCCTGTGTCCATTATTTCGTTAAATATTGTTGTCAGTATGGGCAATAGTTCTTCAAGAGTGCCTTTAAGGAGTTCGTTCATAATTTTGTCTGGCCCTGGAGCTTTCTCCATCTTCTGACTATAAATAGCTTTTTCTTTTTCGCTAGGTAGTATTTTTGGGAGAATTTCATGGCTTAGGTGGCTTCCACTTTGGTCGTCCCATCGATACAGTTCATTTTCTGGGTTGGAGTACAAATCCTGGTAGAACTTTGTGGCTGTTTCGTTTATGTCCTTTCTGCTTGTAGATAAGGTCTTTTTTTTTTTGTTAAGTTTTGGTATCCATTCTCTTCTCACCTCTCTCAGTTCCCTTAGTGCCTTCTTTATCACTCCTGTTCTTTGTATGTGTTTTTCTAGTGTTTGTAGCCTCTTATTTTTTAAATCTTTTCTGATGTTTTTTTCTAATTTCTTTACTCAAAGCGGTAATTACTTTTAGGTTTTCTTTCCTCGGATGATTTGCAAGCAGGTTTTTTCTTTTCTCTATAAGTTGGAGTGTAGTACCGGTTAGTTTGTATTTGTTTTCCCTTTTGTGCCCAGTTATAACCAAAGTCAGTTGTTTAACCAGCTTTCCATATTTTATAAGAAGTTTGTGTTAGATATTATTTTTAAATAAAATTGTTTTTTATTCCAGGCATTAAAACACCACCAGAAGACAAGCAAAAATCGATTGAGAAGGAAAGTCAGCAAGTAACGTCAGTTAAGATATAAAAGACTACTTAATTCGTTTTTATGAAATTCAACGCGGAATAACACGACATATACCGACTCGTAATATTGATTTTAATATACGAATACTAATATAAAGAATTTCTTCTTTTGTTTGTATTAACAGACTCAAAGTAATGTGTGTAACATTTAAAATAGTTATCAATACTGCAAGACATATCCTACTCCTATCTAGACATAATTAGCTGTAAGTAAGTCAAGTCAGTTCAAAAGGTAAAAAGGAACCCTTATAAGATCACTCTCTTGTCCCTCTCTTCGTGTGTCACCACCGATGTTCTCATGAACGGGTAGACCTAGCAAGTTGAAATTTATACCAGATACTAAGATTTATAGGATAAAAATATATGAGCAAATTTAGTTTTTCGCGAAAACTAGTAAGTACCAAAAAATATTAAATTATTTTTCTATTATATTTCTAGAATTGTCAATTTCCGTTAAAAGCAAGGTCTTACAGCACAAATAAAGGAAAATGCCAAAAAATAAGAAAAGTTAAAAAGTAATAAACTTTTTTTAAAATAAATGTTGGTACTTACAAGTTTTCGCGAAAATATACGTAAAATCTGGGTAGGTACGAAACCCTCGGCGCACGAGTTCGACTCGCACTTGACTGTTGTTTTATTTATTTTGTTAATACGTATGTATCATACTAATATTATTAAGATGAAGAGTTTGTTTCCTGTAGGTTTGATGACACGCTAAGCTCAGGAATGACTGGTTGTAATTGGAAAATTCTTTCAGTGTTGGTCAGTTCATTTATCGAGGAAGGCTATAGGTTATATAACATCACGCTGGGATCAAAAGGAACATAGCATTAATGAAAAATATTGTAAAATGTATAAAATTTATTCCTTTGCGCAGGCTAGCTAGTATATTATTTGTTGAATCAACTATACCTACTACTGCAAATAGAGATATTTGACCTCAGACACAAAAGTATAAGAGTTGCGATCGAACAAGACTGTACAATTTATTCTTAATCATTATGTTGCTACAGGTTTAAAGAAAAAAATATAATTAAATAGCGAAGGGGTTCTAACATTAGTCATGTGAGTCATATTATTACAATGTACCTAAAGAAAATGTTCATAATTCATTAGGAATACGAATTTTTAATAGTAGGTGGTTGTTAGGAGGCTGTCTAATTAAATAAATAATGAAACCGTAACTATAATTATATTTATTTTTATTGTTATTATTATCCTTTTAGCCAAGTACCTCGGCTCCCTCTTACAATGTGATGGTGAGATTGATCAAACTGTACAGCATCGAATCAATACGGGATGGATGAAGCGGCGGCAGGTAACGCGAACAATTTGTGACCCCAGTTTCCCCTTAACACTGAAGAGAAATTTATAAAATTATCAGCAGACCTGCCGTTCTGGAAGGTTCTGAAAGTTGGCCTGACGCCTGAACGAAGCCAAAATGTGAATGCTGAGATGGATGTGTGGTGTGACTCGGATGAAAAGTTAAGAAGTAATGGATTATCTTGGTATGAACATGTCATGCGGAGGGATGAGGAAAATGTGGCAAAGAAAGTGTTTGGTATGGGAGTTGAAGAGTACAAGAGAAAAGGAAGACCAAAGAAAAGGTAGATGGACTGTGTGAGTGAGGATATGGCTAGGAAGGGAGTAAACAGTGAGAAGATGAAGGATAGAGTAGAATAGAAGAATCATATTGGGATAAGGGTAGGCAGATGATATTATCCTTATAGCAATAATAGTACTTTGGAAACAATTACAATATGGTATATATTACAACATACATATGTTAGTGAAATATATAAGACATATATATATATACCTATATATATAATAATATGCAAACTTAGCGTAACCAAGAAAAATATTTGTATCACTACTGATTAGGTACATTGATCGTTTAATCTTAACTTATGAGATGTCGTAGTTTCAGCATTGCGTTGGCGTACTTAGATATTATCTACGTTTTATCTATTGCATTAATAACTGCAGGTATGAGCCTAAGTGTTATCCTTGTTATCTATATACTTCCGAAAAAAAATCTTAAACAAATACATGAAAATACAAACAATAAATTCATTTAAACATTTGACTTATTTATATCTTTATCAGGGTTGTTGCGTATATCAGTATCAGCATCAGCATTCGCTGATAATCAGCGTTTAAATTGATGACTAGGAATTTAAAAAAAATTGTAATCTGCAAGCGTCTACCAGAGCATATATTTTTTGTTTCTCACACTAATACAATCTACCATAGAATGTAGATTGTATTAGTGTGAGAAACAAAAGAGTGTCAGAAAAAATAAGCATAGAGTGAACAAGAGCCCCAATCATGCAATATAAGCAACAAGAGAAAAGGATAATAGATAGATGCCTATATCTTTTTCTAGTCGAGCTCTGTGGTTGGCTGGGGAATATGAAGGGTTAATAAGTAGTCAATCGAAAATTTGATTTCGGGCTCTTCTACTCTGCATGTTCTCCATGTTCAGTACATTCAACTAACTATAAATACTTTTATGGTTTTTATCAAAACAAGAAAGATCGCGATAGCTCTACGGATCGATTAAACAAATCTATGTTTTTTTTTCATCGAGTTATCGATACTTCACTAATCGATTTCAGTTCAGATTGTCATCCCTATTGTGAATGTAAATACAAACAATAAATAACTGAAAAACTGAAAACTGAATAAACAAAATATGTAATTAAATGTATGTATATATGTGATTAAATTAAATTATTGATCGCTTGTTGTAGTGATTAGTTTGCCCGAAAATAAACGGCAATATCATACAGATAGAGAGCTTTGAGGCATTATGCAAAATTCTTTAGTTGTGTGTCTTCTCTTTTGGATCTTTTGAACAAGTTGAACAAATCTCCATGGTCCTGTTTAATGTTGTGGTTTAAATAAAATATCCACAATTGAAATTGTGTGTTACTGCAGTGATGATGAGGCATTTTACAACCAAGATGTTCCTCCGCAGAAATGTACTACAAGTGCTCAGCTACTTATTAGTGTAAGCATCATTTAGTGTTTTATTTAAGTGTACAAAATTGTAGCGATGGTTGTCTACAAAGCAATTAACAACTTACAATACTGTGAGCATATTCCTGGCTCACATGAATATTAGGATACTTACAACTGGGAAGCTTGTATGCACAAAATAAGAATATCAGATCAAAAATATACTATATTGCAATGTAAAGGCTCATGCTCTATAATTTTTCGGTCAAGCCTTGCACTGGCACCTACACCTACTTATAAAATACCTTAGACAGTCTAAACGGAAATACGGATCTCACACAGTTAATATTAATAATTCCTGACTATAAATAATATAGCTTCTCCTTATATTACCTAGTGTTAATATACCAGATAAAATAAAATAAAACTATATTTTACTATATGATAAAATTGTTAATATACCTACTCTAAAAGTTGTTTTCCATTATAATAACCTAAATGAGCTTTCTGGAGCTTGTGAAGGTAATAATACAATAAAGCTGACACTCCAGTTTTTGTTTGAATCACTGTATTGGATGGAGTATTCCTTGAGCATTGACACACAATAATGTAGTTTAAGATTAATAGTTTATGATTAATTTGTTAAAGATCTATAGATCTACAGAACTGAAAATACACATGACATTCCCTGAAATACATGTGTGAGCAAATCTATAGATTTGCTTATACATGTCGATGATGTGATGTAATGTGTTTGCAATGATATACCTTTAATAATAACCACTCACAACAGTTTTTATTCTAACATGATTTTTTTTCTTTTAAATTTGTTTATTTGTTTAGCTGATACAAATACAAAACATGTACATAGAGATGCAACATAAACTCCTTCGAGTTTTACCGTACATCAATTTCGTCATATGTTACTTAACAGTGTTACAAAATATCACAAAATGCAATTACACTTAAAACAAAGGCACCAATACAAAAAGCATGACAATAATAAAGTGAGGGTAGGATACAAAAATGTGTACACAGTGCGCAATGGTCCCATCAACCGCATATCATTGATGAATCCTTTAATATAGTACTGTGAATACATTTATTATATTTTACTACACTATACAGGTTGTTTCAGGGTATGACAAATGTGCAATTTAATTAAGTTTAATGGATTGACTGGTACTATGTATTTTAGAGTTCTTTTTCCGCATACTCGTAGATTTCTGTATCGTGGTAGTAATAAATTTGCATTATTGACACTGGGTTTTTATACCATGTGTATTACTACATGTTTTATTTATTCTTGCAAACAGCAAGACTTATAAGTGAATCTAATAATAATATCATACACATCACACACACAGCTGTCTGTTTCCAAACTAGGCAAAGCCTTTACTATGGTAACCAGACTGCTGATAAACATACTTAAACATTTCTAAATATGTACATATCATAGATAAATTACACCCAGACATTGAACAAATGAACATGCTCATCACACATTTGTTTGTCCTAGGTGGGGACCAAATCCACAACTGAGATATTTTGTTCATTTTTAATCTCAGAAATTGTTATGGAGTCTGTGAGTTGAGTTATGTTTCTACTCAAAAGCATTCATATCAGTATGCAGTCTTACATTTTAGAAGTGGAATTGGGAACTCTAAACCCTTTTGAACATTCTACATTTATTTTTGAAATATAAATTTTGTTATTAAAGGTTGTGCATTATAATTATGACAATTTAATATGGTATGGTCTGGATGCTGATTTATTCTATGTTATTAACATTTTGTCACAACTGTAGTAATGATATAGTCACTTGCAATACCAAAAGTATCAAATCTAAGTCACAAACCTGTTACACATTGTAATGGATTTTCTAATAGTTTAATATTTCTTAATATATCAGACGAATTAGCCATTCTAATTTTATAATTATAACTTTTATTAGAGACGAATATTAATTTTGACATTCACCTAAACATTTGTAGATTACTTCCAATTTGTTACTGAAAAAAAGGACAGAATTTTTCCAACGTCCAAGTGTTACATGATATATTGCTGGACTTTGTACAACTGGTAAAGTAACCAAGATTACAGCCACCAAACGAGGATGTAACTTGTACATTAACAGCTCTGAACTCCTCCCCGTGAGACCGGAGTGCAAGACCCTATTTTAGAAAGTAAACATAAATAGAAAACATTTATACTTAATAATCTATGAGATAGACATGGAAATTATTGCCACTTTTAAATCATATTAATTTGATGAATGATTGGTATTAGTTACAGCGAATGTGACTAATACCAATGCGTCAGTATACATGTTAAATATACCAGTGCGTCATGGATTATACCGGCCGCCCTAATATTTCTCGAGAAAACGTCATCAAGAGTCAAAACAAACTTGTGTCTGAAATTGAAACTTCCTTAGCGGAGGTTTCAGTTTGGGGCCGACTAAATCTAGTCCAGTTCAACCCAGAAAAGACACAGGTCTGTGCCTTAAAAAAGATACCATTTGTCGTCTCACCTCAGTTTGAGAGCACCTCCCTAACTGCCTCAGCCAACATCGGAATCCTAGGCATTGACATATCGAACGAAATCCAGTTTCGGGGTCACTTACAAGGTAAGGTCAAATTGACCTCAAAGAAGCTCGGTGTGCTGAATAGATCGAGGCAGTATTTCACTCCGGGCCTACCGCCTTCAGCTCTATAAGGCGCAAGTCCGGCCGCATATGGAATACTGTTCTCATCTCTATGCGTGGGCACCTCAGTACCAGCGTCTCCCTCTGGACGGCATCCAACGAAGAGCGACTTGAATCGTCGATAGCCCAAACATCTCCGATCGGCTCGATCCCTTGGCGTTACGTCGAAATGTGGCTTCACTCTGCATTCTCTATCGCATATATCATGTAGAGTGCTCCGAGGAATTGTTCGGACTAATACCAGCCGCAACTTTCCGCCATCGTTCCACACGGCAAATTTTTTATCCTCATTACCTGTTTAGTTGGGCCTCAATCTGTGGAACGGGTTATCGTCTCCGGTATTTCCTAGCCGATACGCCCTTCAAACCTTCAAGAAAGGAGCGTACTCCTTCCTTAAAGGCCGGCAACGCGTTTGTGACTCCTGAGTTGCAGATGTTCATGAGCGGCAATGGTCACTTTCCATTAGGTGACCTGTCTGCCCGTCTGCCCCCACTAACAAAAAAAAAACAAAGATAAATGGCATTAAAATCAACCAAAATTCTTTTTATGAAATATTGCTTTTTTATAGATTTAGACCTTTCGCGAGTCTTGCGCTAGCGTAATAATAAAAATTAAGTAGCAGTGGTTTTGTAAATCCATCACTGATATGAATACTAAATCATATGATTTATCAGATATTATGTGATTGTGATTTTATGCCATCCTACTAAGAGAGTTCCATGAATTAAAACATACCTCTATAGTCAATGCTCATGTCAGAGGACCAGAAAGGGGTATAAATAGAGGAAGAAATGCAACTTAGTATTTTTTTTTAATTTGTGATATAAGGGGCAAACTAGTGAACGAATCACCTAATGGAAAGTGACCATCTCCGCCCATGAACGACTGCAACTCACAATCACGTTGCCAATCTTTGAGGTGAGAGTATGCTCTTTTCTTGAAGTTGTTTTATGTTTCTATATTCTTTCAAAGCGCATTGTGCATTAACAGTGCAGTTATGGTTTGCACATGCATTTAGTCCATACTATTCAGTTTTGAAAGACTATTATGTCAGATGAGGTGGAATAATTCTCTGTTAATCGGAATATGCTGTCCCTGAATTCGAATAGATTGTATAGAGGTCCTTCAAGTCCTAACCCTAACGAGTAGGATCGCTAGATACTAGGGCAAAAAGGCCAGGTATTAGCGCGAAATGCGGCATGACACACCATACCGTATGATTTTTTTGTTGTTAATGACTTAATTTTCAATAGTTACACAAACATCAAATATTACCTATTCTTACTTATCTAATCAACAGGGTGACGTATTTCCTTCAGGTGTTCTTCTAGTTAGTAGTACGAGTTATAAACAAATACTTGAGTAATAAAGGGAGTAATAAACCTTCTGTCCGATAACTGCCAAGTATCCTTCTACAACCGATGTTATAGAACTTCAGCATTTCCTTTCATTTCAATTTATGTTGACCAATAAAGTTCAGATCGGCTTCTCAAAACTTTTTCAAAAGTGTATATCAAAATTATCGCTAATTGAGACATTTTTACACGGCTTATGCCTATATTAATTCACAGTGATAAGTAGGTATTACTTATTAAATTGATTGCGTTATAAATCAATTCATGGATTTATTATATTTAGTTTCGGTCCGTTGCTCGTCTTGGTTAAAGCATAGCAAATTATAATAAAAATGAATTACGGACTGTTTTTATTAGTAGTATGTCTAAATACTTTTTTTGTTAATGCGTATGTAGACATAGTAGTGCCCGACAGTCAACATGCTTTAGATTTAAATCTTTTTGAGGAAGTGTTGGATCCAGAGCTTTGTGACGAACAAATCAGATACATCATGAACGATACAGGACTTTTATTTACGTGTAAGTATATATTGGGTACATTTGTTTTAGTTATTCTATCTGAAACTGAAACTGATCTTAGGTTTTACTTTATTCGGGTGGAATCCCTCGTAGGAAGGGATCACAAATTAATTAAAATAATTTTGCACTCGTATAAAACATAATATTACAACATTATCTTATTATTATAGTTATTATGTGTATGTATATATATACCTATACAGGGTTACTGGTTAAGTCGACCTAGGCACTTTTAGGTTAGGTTGTATTTGCATTCCCCGGCTATTAGCTGCTTCCCCGGCTATTAGTACCCTAGACGGCGTGCGGTTTTAGTCGGTTCGAGTCCGACATGCCACCGATAGGTGGTATCCGAGGGGATTTCCGCACTTAAAAAGAAAAAGTAGCAACCCTAAAACACCCAGCAAACAGCAAAAAAAAAACCCTAGCAGAAGCAGGCCGGGGTGGCCTGATGGCCTCCCGGTGACAGATGGCCTCACCTGTCACCCCCAGGCCTGCGCTTATGGAGGACGGAGGTCGTTTTGCGACCTCCGGCGCCTGAGTCGCCTGCGGTACCTGGCCCGTTCCCGGGCCTGGCGGGCCGGGAGAGTTCTAAACCTCTCCCGGTCCCGCTCCGCCATCTCCTTCGCGAGCATAACTTGCTTGCAAAAGGAGACGGCAGAGTTCCACGCACTCTCGCTCCGCACGATAGCCGCAATCAGGCTATCGAGCGAGAGAACTTGCACTCCGATGGCCGCCACGAGGTCACGGTGTCTCGCCTCTGCTCAACCCACGCCGGGCACTCTGCCAGCGTGTGGAGAGCCGTATCCACGGTCTGGCCATCGCAGTGGTGACACTCAGGCGTTGGCTCCTTGCGGATCAGACACAGGTGGTCACCGAAACATCCTTTCCCAGTGATCACCTGCGTCAGTCGGTATGAGAGGGTCCCGTGACGCCTCTCGAGCCAATCCTCCATTACGGGTCTTACCGCCGCGATGACGGCGTGCCCGATCATCTCCCGTACCCTTAAAGTTAAAAATTTATCTAAAAGTAATTACCTTAGATGGCTTTTAAAGGCGCCTTAAGTGATTTAAAAATTATTTAAGGAGACAGTTAAATTCAATTGGATTTAGGTGAACAAATCCTTTGTTCAGGTATTCAAGCGTAAACAGAGTAAGGGTTTACCGGTAGTAAAATAGCCAAATTCCATTTACGGTGTTAACTGAGTATGTTTAAAGTAACATAATATCAGGGTTATAATAAATATTCCAAAAATCCTAATACCGCGATGTAAAAGTGTACACAAATTGAACAGCGCCATCTAGTGACGGTAATGAAAATTACAAAAGATAAAACATACATACAATAACCTGCTTGTACAGTAGGTATGTGTGAAATTAGGACTAAGATACTTACCCGATTTCTACAAGGTTTTTGTAAAGATAACCCACAAATATTTCTATCAAGGTTACTTTGCAGTAATATTTGGTGGTGTATCTAAATCAAATTTGTTATCAGTAGCTAATAAAATAAGTTCCCTCTATAGATAAATGGAAATTTAATACCAGTAGCAGTCGTGATATCTCACGTCACCCTTGCGTGTTAGACAGACGTTTATAATTTGTTCTTTTATAAAACATTTTCTCTAATATGAGATTCGCTAGAAGAGGAGATGAAAAATTTGCTAGCAGGACAAAACTTGAGCCCAATGTTCCAAGGTCCTCGTTTAGGTCACAAAATAATATTTTATGAAAAAAAAAATAGTTGAAAAGATAAATCTAGGAAATAGTTACCTTTAGAATTTTTAACTTAGATAAAGTAGAATAACATGCCAATAAGCACTATTTAGTGTTATTACCAGGTTGTAACTTATTAAATGGGTATTTGAAAATGGTAAATAATAATCGTTTAAAGTATTTCCAACCAATATTAATCAAATTATGATAGGTTATTTACGGCACAGTATGATTGTCAGTCACCGCAATACTATACTCGCACTATAAGTTCGGTATAGTATTGTGTGTTTATTTGTAAATAATGTAGAGAAATTGTTTCTTTGTCGATGCGACATTTTACTATATGCATTTAACAAAGGGCTCCAAGCAGAGAAGAAGGAATATTAGGAGAGTTATGAAGTTCCAGAAGCCAAATTAATAACAGTGATAAAATTTTTACCTTAAATATTAAAAGTAACTAATACTCTATGCATTAATCATATGAGACGTTCTGTTGGGGCATTACACATGTGTGCTATATTTTTTTTCACTGTACCTGTTTAAAAAGTAATATATTATCTATTATTAACTTAAAGTTAAAAAGTTCCTCGCTTCGGTTTCTTTCTATCCGCGAACTTGTAAAACATCCTTGTACTAGGTTGGCGTGTGATTAATTTGTAAATTCGTGGCAAACCATACAATTTATTAAGCACAGGATTTCTTCGCCCAAGTTGCAATTGAAATTTATTTTGTTTTTTTTTACAGTTTTCGATGCTGGGGCTCGAATTCCCAGGGGAATACTCAATGGCAATACACAAGATCTCGGCAATTACTACCAATGTCTTGGTATCAACGAAGAAATACCAAATTCAGTCGTCGAAGGAAAATATTGCTTGATAAAAGTACCTCTTGAACAAAATGTAGATTTTCCGGACTTACTTGGATTACCAGATATACTCTCGCAAAATTTACCGACATGGGAGTTGAGTCATAGTAGCCTTAGACTTGATGATAATGTCATGAAAAGCTTGAATGAATATAATGCATTAAAAAGAGGTGTTGATAAGGCTGGAGGACTAGGAGACAAGAGTCTTGGCAGGTATAATTTTTTTTTTGTTTGAAATATAAAGGTTTATTTAGGAAAAACTTGGCTACAATATTTTCAGGGCAAATTTTATATTATATTTTATATATTATAATTAAACCTGCGTATCAGAGTGGCATCAGAGCTCCTAAACGGATAGACCGATTTGTTTGTTCGTATTGCGACTTGATCGGTAGTATCCTTAGCTTTATAGCTATCACTTAAAGGATTTTGAGTCGGGGGCATGTTAGTTTTTTAGTGCACCATTAGCGAAATTGTTAAACATGATTTCGCAAAATTCTGTAACAAGGTCCTAATGGTGTTAATCCAATATGATATTAACATATAAAAAGGCGACCCGAAGGACATCGGAAACTAACGGCCAGTCTTCCGCAGAGTCTATACACGTTATTTTCTGCAATTATAAAAATAAGTATTAGTAACATATCGGATAAAAGCAACCGGTAGAGCAAACAGGCTTCAGAAAGAGGTTTACAACAGATGACCACACAACCACACCATCACACTTGAATTAATTATGGAAAAGTACCAGAAAATCCAAAGAACACTATATATACCTAGCATTCATCGACTACAAAAAAAATATAGTGATGAGGAGTAGATGCTTTTGTTAAAAGGCATTCATGAGACCTTCGGCAAAAAACTCAAGGTACTGAAGGATTAGGTTTTCAACACGGGAACCGTCTCACTGAAGCCGAAACCCGTGAAAAAGGCCTTAGGAACCCTCAAAGTTAGAAACGGGATGGCAACTACGGTAACTGCTGCTCCTTTGGTGCGAGGGTTCAAAGTGCCGCCGTTTGATGGAACATTTTCGTGGCCAGCCTACAAGTCCCTGTTTGAGGCTGTTATGACGGTGAATTATCGAACTCAAGTCTCGTAACAATAAGAACTACCGTTTGACAGTTCTGACAGAACGAGGAATAGGAAGGGGTACAATTTATTATCGGGAAATCAATATTATTTCTTTGCATTAACTAATCGATTACAGTTTTGCAGATTTATGAATGTTAATGTAAAGCCCGTTAATTGGTATATCTTATTTTCTAATACTTCTTACATTAGATTAACTATAGATTAGAAAAATAAATATATCAAAAATAGTATAAATATAAATTTAAGATTAAATTACTTAGTGAGAACTAAAATGAGGAAAAAGTATTCAAAACATACATACAAATAGTTAAGACACGTATACATATTTAGATTAAATAATATTAATATTAATTTATCCAATAAAAATGTAGTAAGTACAGTTCATCTACCTTAAATTAACACGTAGATGACAGTAATTATGAGGTTTCACACATAAAACATAGAAGTCGAACGACGGTGTCTGAGCTAGTAAAAACTTTGTTAGAGACAGCGACATATAAATGATGGTAGATGCATAGATTGTAAGAAATGTAAATTTATAGAACATAAAAAGCTTTCTTATTTATTTAATCGTAGAATATTTAAGGGGTTCGTTTTCTTCTTGTTTCCAGTAGGTAAGCAAGGAGGTATAACCTGTAGCTTTTGCTATTAGTCTTGTGTTTTTTCAATAGGTAACGCATTGATATATTTTTGTTAAACTCGATGATGTAACATTAAGGTATAGTATACTTACTATAACTGAAAGTTGTAGTATGCGTTTCAAATTATACATTATTCAACATAGAAAAAATAATTTAATATAATTAAGTTGCATTCGTTGCTGATTATAGCGTGAGAACTGGCGACAAAAACCGACAAGGGCCCATAAATCCAAAACGCCAATGGTTTGTAATGGCCCATTACTCAATATTTTTAGTATAGAGGGTGTGTATGAATCAGCACACATCCATAGGATTAGGTAGTGCAACGCATAAAATTATTTAGTTATCTCATGAGCGTAATTGCTTTACGCTGGCGGAGTTTACTTTTTGTATTTTTTTTAAAGGTTTGCCGACAACAGCTCTCTCAGCGGCCTGACATTAAAGCTTGCAATTTGCCTGCCTAAAGTATGTTCAGCAAGACATGCATTAGATACGTTTGTTAATATAACTGATATTGGTTTTAACTATGAGGAACGTTTCTGTCGCCTCCCAAACGACAAGCCTTGGGTACCTGGAGACTACGTTGCGATGTGAGTACGGAATATTATGTGATATACTATAATATTTTTAATTTCACTATCTTCATGAAAGCCACACTAATTAAAACAGTTTCTTTTCAAATGTGCTTAAAATGCGCTTAAAATCCATCACCAGTTCACTCCCGATCACGGTCGGTGCAATGACGAGACAGGCCTGGTGGTTAGCGACCGTGACTGCTAAGCATGGGTTCGATTCCCACCCAAAAGAAAAACATTGTGTGATGAGCACGATCATTTGTTCTGGCTTCATAAATTCGAGGCTTGAAAAGCTTATAAGTACCTAAATATATAAAAATGTTTACTTATACATATACAACCCGTTTCAATGATTGTTTTTATCTATTTTTCGAGTCAGTTTTGTTCCTCATTTTTCATCCATGCAACCACAATGTACCATAGCGATGCGTGGTACATTACCTATAAACTATACAACCTTTGTATTGTTTAAGTTATACTTATCAAAGCTTTTTAATTTTGCAGAGCAATATTTTCTCTGATCGGTCTGCTTTCAATATTGAGTACGGCCTACGATCTTCGTTATAATGTTTTCCTGCAGAAAGGTGAGTTAACCAAGTCTTTGTATCGTTTTAATTTATTTATTATCATCGGAAATCATTGTCAAATTACTAATGATCAATCTTTTGATTTCTTGGTTTGACCAAACATTAATTTGAGGTTTAATTCGCGTTGTAGTGTTATTCTGTTTAAAAAGTATAAATAACATCTCAGCATGATCAGGATATTGTCAGGTGTTTGGTATCATGTCTGAGACCGATAGACAGTCAGACGTAAATTTGCGATAAAAAGATATCTACTTGACTAAACAATACGTAATCATTGCTGTATAACAGCTGCAATTTCTAATAATCTATTTATCTCAAATAAATAATGTAATCTATTTAATCATAATAAATAATAATCCTTTTAAATCATAAACTACAATGTCGCCAACACACACTTGTACTTGGAAACACTCGAAACTAATCCATTAATTCGTGCAAACAAATGTCAACCGGGACATTGTAATATGATGTCTTTTTCTATTCTACTCTATCATTCACCATACGCCCATTACCAAAAAATAGCTTACCAATGGATATGAAAGTTTTGTGACCGATCAGTTTACTTCCTTTTCTGTCAAAGGTGCTAGAGAAAATCGTGTGTTCCCAGCTCGTAAAGTATTTAGAGAAAAATAAAATTCTCCCTGATAAGCAATCGGGTTTTAAAAAAGCTCGAAGTACAACCACTACCTATTGGCAGTGACGGACGACATCCTGTTTGCACAGGACACCAGCATGTGTGCCTCATTCGTATTATTGGATTACTCTCGCGCTATGACTTCATCAATATTCCACTGCTGCTGTCGAAAATGGCTTACTACGGGTCTGATAGAGAAATTATTAAATGATTTGATAGCTACTTAGGTGGTCGCTCTCAATATGTTGAGATCAAGCAAATGAATGGAAACACCGTATGTTCTATGGCTCAGCAGCTGCATTATTGCAAGTACCACATGTAGATGATACACATGTCTATATATCGTTCAAGTACTAAATGTAGATCTAAATTGAATTGTCGATTGGTCTGCTCGCAATTCAATCGTTCTCAATCCTCTGAAATAAAAATATATGCTGTTTGGCACTAAATCGCAGCTAATCGCCATCCCACATAAAACACGTACTGTCAAAGTAATGGCCATACCAATTAAGAGAGTTTTTGAAGTTCGCAACTTGGGGTTAATAATGGACGCTGACGTGGGGTTTGAGAACCACATCTCAACGCTGCTCGTGATTGTTTTTATAAAGGTATTGTACTAGGCGCGGCCATTTCTAAGTGAAGAGCTGCGAATTCTTTTGGTGAAGAGCCTCGTCTTATCTCGACTAAATTATGCAGATACTGTATACGGACCGCGACTTCTTTCTAGAACAGAACACCTGATAGAAAGACTTCAAAACGCTCGTACCAGATTCTGGTTTACCGTACCCAAAAGAGGTCATGTCACCCCTTTTTTAATAAGCGCAACATTTTAAAAACATAAACACAACCAAAATTTGAGTAGAGAGTGCCCACTGCAGATTTAATACAACATTATAGGGCAACTGCCTTTTTTTTAATGTTAGAGTTGGCAAACGAGCAGACGGGTCACCTGATGGAAAGTGACCATCGCCGCCCATGAACGTCTGCAACTCAGGAGTCACAAACGCGTTGCCGGCCTTTTAGTAATAAGTACGCTCTTTTCTTGAAGGTTTCAAGGTCGTATCGGTCCGGAAATACCGCAGACGATAATCCGTTCCACAGATTGGTTGTGCAGGGCAAAAAGTGTTTCGAAAAGCGCACAGTATTGGAGCGCCAACTATCAAGGTAATGAGGATGAAAATTTTGCCGTGTGGAACGATGGCGGAAAATTTGCGGCTGGTATTAGTCCGAACAATTCCTCGGAGCACTCTCCATGATATATGCGATAGAGAATGCAGAGTGAAGCCACATTAAAGGGTAGTTTTCCTTACTCTGCGTTGAAATAATATCCCTCAATCCATAAAAAGAAGACCAAGTGCGTATTCTCTCAAAACGAAATTAAAGGAATTCTTACTGCAGCATCAGAAGGAATTGGAAGACGTCAGAGTAACTCTTAGCGCGATATAAAATAGAGAACATGGATGCCGTGCTGTGCCATATCTCACCTTATTTTATTATTCACTACAAATTATTATTTATTTACTATCATAGTCATAATGTTTTAATTCAATCAAATTATTATCCAATTAGTATTATATTTAAATGTTTTCATACCAATCAAATTATTATGCAGTTACTAGATTTATATATAGATAGAAACAATTTTCAGAATATTCTCAAATCCAATCAAATCCAATCAACTTCTTTATAATCTACTATACCAGTATACAGACTTTACTAGTCCACTGCTGGACATAGGCCTCATAGTTTACACTATCGAACAGACACGCGGACAACACAAGCGCTAGGTGCATTGCGCTTAGCATTATGCTGAACCGTGGTCCATATTAGTACAGATGTAATTTATACATGTTTCTGTTGTGAATATGTAACAATACTGTTGAATGTGCCCATTAAAGTATTTTTCTTTCTATCATTTACTGCGTTATAGTTTACTTTGACACATTTTGCGCATCATAATACATCACGTGGCCATACGATGATAATACTCAACATTCCATTCGCTTTCGATGCTTTACTGCTGTATGCTGTATTTGCTGTATGTGATGTTGTATATGCTGTTTTTTTTTCACGTATATTTTACTCTTACTAGAAAATAAACGTTATTTTCTTTTTATTTCGGCTGTCCACTGGGTACGTGCAGACACTCGCGCAACAACATCTCATATATTGATATTATTATTATTAGATATATTATTCATGTTACTTACCTTCAGTTCCCCATCGATCCTTGTAATTATTAAAATTGTATAGGCCGAGATTTCGCCATTGCTTAGTAGGTTGCTTATAAGCCAGGTTTATAAATAAACTGTATTGAAGCTATCCAAGGAAAAGTGTATACTTTTCTCATTGCATATGATATTATAGGTATTACATATACATACAACATATACATACATTGAATGGGTATTTTGGTTAGATTTTGGAGAGGAAAAATTGCCATAGTTACTTCTTATTCTGTTAGGTATCTGTCTGATATAGACAGCTACCTGGTAGTGAAGTATAATCAAAATCGGTACAGCGGTATTGAAGATTATCCGGAACAACTGTTTGAGGTTCAGTTCAATCAGTTTAATTTTTCTTTTTAATTTTAACTGATTTTTAAGCCTTGGTATCGTTTAAATAACCACGTGAGCATGGCAAAAACGCATGATTTTGACATAACAAACAGTCACTTCAATTTTATTTATTTGTATAAATCAGCTCACTATTCTACGAGTATATTACTTTTTTATCATAACAATCCGTATTTAAAAAAAATATTTAGATGTCTTATTAGCACGCATAACTCACGTTTATAAACTTATGATTAGGCGTTACTATCGTACAGATAGAAACAGATAATGATAATCTTCTTTTTGTAGTTACACAGGACAGCCCAGAAAGTTATTTTTGTAAATAGGAAGAATACTCGTAGGAAACTATGTTTTTTTTAAAAGTATTTAGTTTTAATGCAATTTTAATTCTTCTTAATTATATCGTCGAAATTACGTTCTTTGCGGTTATGACACTCTTTCAAACGATCACAAACATTTCGAAATACTTAAATAAAAGTTTATTTTAAAATCTGCTGAATAGTAGCAGAATATTTTCGAATTATTAATTTTTTGCTTTTGTGGCATCCCCACACAAATAAGTCTGCTGGACTTTAATCTGAACTTCTCGGAGATAACTGCAATACCCGAGCTATGCCCCTGTATACACCTCTCATCCCTCCCCTTTAATGTTTTGAAATTAGCGCGATTTTAAAAGTGAACCTTCTGTGCCACCTGTGTACCTATACGAAAGTTGATTGGGTGTTTATCACACAATTACGCCAGAACGACTTAACGGATCGTAATGATATGCCGCACAAAGACAATTATCTAAATAATGCGGCATAGAGCATAGATTAGGTTAGGAAAATTTGATTGAAGAAATCGACATCAACAAAAGCGAAACCGCGGGGTCAAGCTGGTTTTATAAAGATACCTATACACCTACGTTTATGGGATCGAAAGTGTATTGAAAATCGTGTAAATAATTCCGAGCCTAATTATGAAATGTTATTTTTTCATAAACATGCAACTTCGCCAGGAGTTACAAGCTACGCAGATCAATCCGATCCGACTTTTTATTATGAACCAAACATTACAAGTGTTTACTTGTGAACTTTGGCGGTCTAATCATTTAATTGACTTGATTGTTTGTTTGTTACATATGTATTAGTACAAAAAATCCAAAGATAAAGATAATGAGAGATAAAGAGAAACTGATTTGACTTTGGAATGCCAAATAACAAGTGTATATAATGGATCAGGGGCTAAGACATACCGTTCTAGATTTCACATCACAATACATGAAATGTGAATGCAATTTAATTGGCCTATCAGTTCATGGGTTAGCGATATTACGAGTAATCCTGTTGTTCACATCAATAAAATTTCTCCAAAAAAATTATTTTATGTTAAGTAGTTTCCAGAATGCTGCTATTGTCAACTCGAACTAAATTTGTAATAATTGTTCATTATGACAGCATTAAATTTGAATTTGACATCATTAAAAGTTAAACAGGAAAGTTACCGTTAATTCATAAAATCTTTTGAAACTTATATTTTTAGGTATTCAGAATGCCTGAAAATGGTTATTTATGCATACTATAAATTAAATAGTAAATAAAATAGGAATTGTATTTCTCAGTCATAGCCAAGTAAATACAACTTTACTCAGTTCAAATACCTGGCAATCCGCGGCTAAACTTTTTCTTGAACTACTCGTATGTAACTGAACAAACTCTAAACTAAACCATCTCCGAATTTGTATTTTATAAAAAAATATTAACAAACAATAACATTAATCTAATTCAAAATTAAATTCAAAAACCATATTATTTATTTTTATTAAATTCTTATAACCTCCTTTCCAAGGAGAGGCTTATGTCCAGCAAGTGGACTATTAAAGGCTGTTGATGTGATGATTATACTGCAGCTTTGTGACTCCCTTGAGCAAAAAATTTGTAATGCAGATAAAACCTGAAAAATAGCTTCAATATGATGAGTCCGTCTTCTAAAGCTTAGGTCAAGACCTATAGTATGTTACCTACAGTATGAGTATGTTCTAATCGTATTCTATCTTGATAGTTTTTAAAAATATTTATGCACGTTTTAATAATCCAGATAAGTGACATGATAATCTAATTGTGATTTATGATGTACAATAAAATCACGTTATAGATATTTATCATATAAAATAATTACACATAATTTAAAGAATTTTAATTTAAACAGCCTAATGAATAACTTAGTCGGAATGTATTCAAATGACGTCAAATTTTAGTGTGACGTCAATCTTTGACGCATAGAACATAGAACAGAATAACAAAAAGGCAATTCTGGATTAAGTTGAGTAACTTATCTAATTTTGGTTGCGTCAAACTAAATATAGTATAGTCCTAGTATTGTCCTTTCAGAATACGAAACGGCATTTGACAGGACTAAACTAAATTTTAGTGATTTTTAGTTTAATTGAGAGCGTTTTCGAACAACAGAGTTAGCACCATTGACTGCCGTACAAAAGATTAGGAGTTCGATTTCCATCCAAGGCAAATAATCGTATGATGAGCACGATGGTAAAATATCCTTGTTTTTTTTTTGTTTTAGACCCGAAGAAAGTGAACAAGCTGTACCAGTCTTTTTCAGTGTACAATAATACAAATCGTCTACTCACAATAACACCCGTGCCCGGCGCTATAGAATGTTTAGACGGTATTCGATCATTCGCAATGATGTGGGTCATTATTGGTCATACATTTATCCACCAAACGATGGGTGGTGTTCTGGGCAATCCGCTGGATGTTTTAAAGGTAATTAAGGTAGTGGAATATGGATTTATAGTGGGAGTCGTTTGGAAATCAGTCTGTCTATTGTGAAACTCTTTGACTTATAAAGTCACTTATAAAGTTTTGACTCGTTAGGTATCACTTGAACGGTCTTTGTATAGACTTTTGTGTTATAAGAAATTAAAATATATTAGTTTAAGACCCCTATAGCTTTATGCAGATGTTTTTACATAATAATTACTTTATAGTACATAATATTTAAAAGTTTAACTACCTTCACTTCTACACTGTGAGCATTGACATAAAAATGCCTACGTAGAAATCTAAATTCTTTACTTATCAATATTATTATAATATGAGTGAGTAGCTGTCTAGACAATCTGAGCCTACTGTTCAGATTAATGTATAAAGATTAAAGATTTTATCATAGTAAAATTTATTAATCCTGTTAGATTTTGTATTTTGATAGTTTTGATGACAGTGACGAATGGATATTTAGATAAGAGTAAATTTACGAATTTTAAAGTACATTCACACCTATATCCCAGAAGGAGTAAGCGGAGGCGTGTTAAACACTCACGTGCTGAAAAATAAATTATAATTGTGGATTAGATTATAGTATTAAATTAAAGCTTAGACCTCAAGGAGGTCGAAAGCAAATAAAGCTTTAAAAGCTTAGATTTAAAAAAATAAATATCGGCCGCATTACGGGATTATCACGGTCTCGAAAATTTCACAAAAATCCCACAACGGAATCATTCCTTTTGATGTATACGACCAATATTACAACGATAATTCATACAGGGAATAGAAGTAGACTCCGTACAGTATTTTATTTGAGCTTAGTTGCATCCTCTTTATGTGCTATAGGTGGATATAGTAGTATGATCACGTTTCTCTTCGCTCTCAACTAAATTTGATGCCGATTCCTCGGTACTTCATTTACCCACTTCTACGTACCACCATCTTTCAGTGTTTTTGCTATATTCATAATCGTTATCTAGCAGATCTTGTCTTATAATCGTTTTCCATTATGTATGTCCCAGTCATTCTTCAGCTGGTGTCAAATTTTCTTTCACTATTGAGCCTGTCATCTTCTGAATTGCCCTACCACAGGAAATCAGGATGGCTCCTAGTCGGCTTCCGTTTATAGCTGTTGCTCTCCGCTATCCACGCGTCGTTTCTAGTAAAGGTTAATTTGTTAACTGGATCGTTGAGAAGCAGGTAATCATAGAAGCAAAAATACAAAAAACCTAAAAAATACTTCGTCTTTTAAAATATAGATGTTGTATAAATAGTTTATAATATAATTTGATAAAAGTGTATATTCGGACATGTTCTAATAATAATACGTATTTTTCAGTGGATCACGTCGTTGAGTGCAGTATGGATTACTTCTGCACCCATAACGGTAGACACCTTCTTCATGCTAAGTGGCCTACTTCTGGTGTATACTACCCATGGAAAAGTGACACCCAGTAAGTCTTCTATGTCGTAGACTGCCTTACGGGCCGTGTACAGGCTAGTAGTAGATGAAAGAGTTAACACTTAGGAAAAATTATTCGTTATATATATATACAGTTGACCGATATAGATAATATTTAGTAAGACAGAGAAAACTGTGTGTCATGTGTATCTAGCACCAAGGACATGTACAGAATTTTGAATGCATTCTGATGATGAATTCTCTTCAAGCGGATGGATCGTGTTAATTTAGTTTAATATTGCTTGCAAATACCTTATGTAATACAAGGTGTTATCAAGAAAATTTGTTTAGTTGTTCGGGTATCGTCAGTCATGTCTTTTTTTTATTTATACTTGTTTAGAAATGAACACATTCACGTAGAAATTCAACTTAACATGGTAAAACAAGTTAGTATGGCGCTTTTAAAACAAGTAAAAAATACACAATAATTAAAAACTTTTACATCCTCAAGTTGTTCAAAACCTCATTAAAGGAAATTTCTTTGTTTCAGTAAAGCTTCTCAAGAATCTCCATTTGTTCTATTTGAATAGAATATTCAGGATATTGCCGGTATTATGTGCAATGATTTTAGTACAAGTTTCATTCCTAAACTGGGTCGTAGATGGACCTTTTTGGGAGGTGAATATGGCTCAAGTACATAATTGCAGAGTTTTCTGGTGGTCTACTATACTACATATTCAAAATTTCCATAATCCCAGTGGTATGGTGAGTCTCAATTTTGATCTTATTTTAACTCGTTGTCTACTCATTGTCTTGTGACCCTGAGAAGCCATATTCAAAATTTTATGATGGTCGTTTAAGAAGATAAACATAACGCATAAATAAACTATAAAATTCCTAATATTACTTAATATTAGAATGACTTAATGTCATCCTAACTAAAAAAAAGTGTGAATTTATTGACGACGCCACCGCTATGTATAACGCTACAACTATTAATCATCAGCAGAAAAGTAGCATTTCAGAGTGGCGGTTAACTTCAATCTTTTGTAGTTAGAGTGCATGTCACTTGGTCCAATGTATGTGAGCCAAACTGAAAATTAACTCTCAAGTTAAAATATATGTGATGTAAAGTGTGCTTTATATCACTTATATAAAGGCTCAATATAGCTAAACTGACATAGAAAGAGAAATAGCTTACTTCCAGCAGTGGACATATCCCTGTTTATAATATCTATTAAAATAGGTAATATAGTAGTTGTTTTATTTGTCTTCTAAGGTTTTTTTTTTTATTTCAGTGCCTGCCTCACTCGTGGTACTTGGCCATAGATATGCAACTTTATATTTTATCGCCAATAATACTAGTGTGGGTATTGACTGGCAAAAGACATTTTGCCTGGACTGCTCTATTAGTTAGCCTGATAGCCGTGTTGAGTGGCGCCACGGTATATAGCTTTGTTAACGATTTTCCGTCTACACCTGTTTCACCCTCGTAAGTACATACATACATACGCAACTCACCTTTCTGTCGTCTAGTTATACAGTCAGTCCTTTCTATAATTGCTTACGTCTCTCTATAATTAATTATCTGCCCAGTGAAAATTTATGATTTAATATTATTCAGCTTCATGTTGAATCTGACTTCATGTAATCAAGCTTTTCAGTCCACATTTTTCTTGTAACGTACACCATGTTGTTACTTATTTTGTAAACACCTGTCCCAAAGGAGCCTTGCGAGCTGCGTTTAAATTAAACATTTTCTTTTCCGAAACATAAAGATAAATAATGTTCTTCTTATTTCAAAAAGGAGAAGGTTCTCAATTCGACTGTTTTTTTTTTGCATTACTGTGGTGACGGATTACGAATACGGAGTGTCACCACCCCTATTCATCTCGTGGGTACCGTAAGAGCCGACTAAGGGAACAAACTACACAGGACAACATCCCTGCAAAGAGAAGGAAAACTTGACATAAACCCTATACCGACCAGTCTGGCCAACGTGGTATATTAGGCTAAAACCTTATTTCTAAGAAGAGGCCCCTGTCCAGCAGCGGACTACTAAGGGTTGTTGATACTAGACAAGATAATGGTATACAATGTTTTCTAGTAAATACTGATGATGACATTAACGAAACCATCAAACTATAAGAAATAAAAATATATATGCATTTTTCCTATTTTAATTGTACATACATTTTAAATATCCTGAGCGGTGCGTCAACAGTAACTCATTGGGAGTTACTGTTGACGCACTGTTGACATAATCTGGCTCCGGTAACCTCTCCACTCGGTAAAAACCATGAAAGATGCCTAACACCGGCCGTGTTATCACTCCTGTAAATTGGAAGTATTTCCTGATTCATTACAATATAAATAAAACATTTTTAGATTCAGAGTACAGAGTACGTGTACTATACACGTGGATAGGTAAACCACAATACTTTCTCTCTATATCTGTTTTAAATATTGTTTTCAGTCGTCCAGAGGACTCGCCATACTACATGTTTTATTTCTACGTGAACACATTAACAAGGGCTTCTCCGTTCTTCGTTGGTCTCATATTCGGATACCTGCTGTCCTTATGCCGCGGCAAAACTGATGTTTTAAATTGGGTAAGGTATATAATTATTTTATTAAATTAAACTCCTTGACGAGTTAGTCGTCTAATTATTACGGATGATGTGGATATTGTATGATTTATATGTAAATTGGTATGTGACGTTAAAAACTTTCCTAGTAAATAATACCAAAACTTAGTAGTAAATTAATTATATATTATTTTTAATTACATGTCCTTAAATTTCTTTTGAATAATATATATGTATGTGATTTTTATTTATGTTAGTATTTTGAATTAAAAAAAACAAAAATAGATATTCCATATACCAGGCCACTCAGAAAGGGCTATTGCCTCACCATTAACGCGACCTCGCATTCAGTGCTCAAAATAAGGGACTTTCTGGACACCACACCGGTTAAAGTCTTGGGTTAGCCTCCTTATCCTGTATAGTCCTGATCTGGCACCGTGTGACTTCTTATTATTATCTAAAATCAAAATAAAAACAACTGAAAGGGAACAGTTAGAAGACGCGCTAACAGCGTTCGAGCAGACCGTAGAAGAGGAGTCTGCGGTGGACTTGAAAAAGTGATTCGAAAACTTTTTTAGACGCATGAAACTTTGTGAAGAGGCTGGTGGAGAGTACTTTGAAAAGATTTAATCCATGTAAATTGTTTTTTAGTTTCTCAAAACTTTCTGAGTGGCCCGCGTAAACATGAGATAAATTAAAATTTACTGTTTAAATAACATCAACATAATTGCCAGTATTAATTACGTCACGTTGAAATCTCAATGTAAGTATTTTCATTTATTACAGGTGACCGCGGGACTCCTCTGGCTCTTTTCGGCCTTTATAATCCTCGGTGTAATATTTATTACAAATCCATTAATGCAGGTGGACTGGGACAACCAACTAGTTGACAATTTAGTCAACTCGTTTAAAAGACCCATTTGGGCTGTAGGAGTGGGCTGTCTTATATTTGTTTGCGAACACGGATACGGCGGTGAGTTTACTTGTATAGTACAGACAATTCATTAAGTTGTAGTATGTGCTCCCGTAGATTTGCTGCAAATAATAAAAAAATAGATAGGGGTCGTCAAATCTGATGTTCGACGCTCAAACCAAAAGTATATTGCCTCATAGGCTTCACACTTTTGTCCATTTCCTTAAGTAAAGTGAATCTTAAGAAAATGCAGGTTATGTTGCCGTTAAAAATACCATTTTGTTGAATAACAACATGAAATCAGGTGTGTTCTGAGTACCTATTTGTATACAACTTAATTCGAAAAAAAAATACATTCGAATTGAGAACCTCCTTCTTTTTTTTTGAAGTCGGTTAACAAGCATATGCCTGGTGGGCGAACGCACGGATAATGGAGCCTACGAATGCTTGTAGAGAATACCAGTGGTGCCAATTGTGCCTTGTCAACTTTCGGATATTGTCGTTGACCATCCCCTCAATAATGTCTTTCACCACAGTAGTGGTCATGTGTAAGTTAGAGGACCATGACCTATGCGGTGGACACAACTTTGACTGCACGGATGGCGGAGTCGTTTAAGCGGTCGCCACGCCGCTTCCTACTACGCCGAGTGTTGTGGGTTCAAACCCCACATGGGACGACACTTTGTGTGATCCACAAATTGTCGTTCTGAGTCTGGGTGTTCTTTGTGTCCGTTTCATGCATGTTTGTAAAGTCCCCCGCGACACAGGATATATTCCTAATGCCTTTTAAAAGAGAAAAAAGAGAGAAAAACTTAGAACAGTAATTTGCTGTATCCTACCTCTTAACGTTCTAGCCTTATCCAATTACTAAATAATTCATTATACTTTCAGGTATTGTTAACTGGATATTATCACTCAGAATGTTTAAAATATTGGGACGTCTGTCGTACGCGATGTACATCGTACACTATCCATTAATATTCCTTGTCAACGCTATGCCCGTGTCGCTTATACATTTCAGCGTACCTTCCTCGGTAAGTAACCTTGAGTACTTAAGCTCACATATTTTCCTCGAGGTATGCTCGCGTTTAAGGTTTTTTTTGTGCCCGGGAACAATGATTTGTCGCAATGTAAAACCTCATGGCCTTATTATCTCTGAAAACCAGAATGCAAACGTTCTCTTGAAAAAAAATATGTTTTCTGAATTCTTAATTTAAAACACTAAAAAGTCTTTCGTATGTTGGTTGGTGCTGCCATCTGCAGTACATTCATATAACAGTTTCAACAGGTTACCGAGATACCAGACCTAATTTAGAGGTACATCGAAAGATGGCGTTACCTACAGATTTCTTATGCAACTTACAGACCTTTCATAAAAAAAAAAACTTTAGCGGACTCAGCTTTACATCAATACAGATACGACGAAGCCACATGTCAGAACTGCACCCACTGCGAGCATTTATGCACATACCGTATATTGTCTCGATCTCGGCTCTATAAAATCAGTCTTAGTTAAATTTTAATTTTGCCTATACATATGTAACAACGTATATAGTCGCACTTATTTTTATTTTTAATGTCTTGATACTAAGTAGCTTTATAATTAAGTATCACATCACATCAGCAGCCTTTAATATTCCACTGCTGGACATAGGCCTCTCCTTAGACAGGAGGTTTTAGCCTACTTTACCACGCTGGCCAGACGGGTTTGTTTCAAGTTTTGCTTCTCTTTGCAATGCTGTCGTCTTGCATAGTTTGCTTCCTTAGTCGACTTTTACGACACCCGCTGGATGAATAGGGGTGGTGACACTCCGTATTCTTAATCCGTCACTAAACGAATAATCAAGTATTAATGTTAACTATTCTATACCTACGGATTCATATTGATTTTTTTTTGGAGGTGTATTTATTCGACCTTTTATTATAAGCAATAAAATGTAGAATATCTGTTGCAGCTGTTACTGTTCCTGTCCGACTTCTCGTTAGCTGTGATAGTTGCGTACTTCATGACAATATTTGTGGACCTGCCTTGTGGTGTCCTGGTGAAGCACTTCTTGGGCGGCAGTAAGTTGTTAACAAACCGTACTATACAATACTGTCTTACAGATAGCTCGTAAGAGTTACTCACCTGTTTTTGAGTAGTATGAGATATTATTTATTTAAATTATCTCTGATCTTTATCTTATTTTCTCTTTAATGTAAATATTCCGAGATCAGGTTCTCGTCTTTCGTACATGTTTATGGATTTTTGTATCAAAATCTATTTTTTATATTTTACTAGCAGTATCCTGCCACGCTTTGCTGTGGCTATTTGTGGTTGCATTGATGGGAAATAAGAAACGAAACAAGCGGGTTATTTATAGTGTCAAAATGTTAACTCAATCGTAGTTAGCTGTGCGCTTATCGATCAATAACTGAATCAATCTGTCAGTTTCTTCTTTTATAGATATAGATTAGTAACGTTTATGTTATAACTTTAGTATACGTCGTGCATAAAAGTTTATTAGTAAGGCTATAATAGTTTTACTAATATTATGTGTCCAATGATGTACATAGACGGGCATATTATGGGCAATACAGCTTTAGTAAATTTAAGAGTCCCTTTTTCCCAAAAATGGTGAATCTTAGGGGGAAAAGTGCACGGAAAATTTGTAGATTATTGCAAAATTGACTACATTTTTGTCATAAAACCAACCGTTTCTCTATAAAAAAAACATTTTTTGCTAACTTTGTTCATGCATAAAATTTTTGCACACATGGGATCGATGGAACTTTTCACAATTTCATTATAGCGGTATCCCTAACGTTCAATAGACAACGTTCGCGTTGTTTGATGATGTGTCATGCATCATACAGTATGTAACCAAGCGTAATTTGTTTTTTACATGTTATTTCAAAGATTTAATTCTATATCATTTTTTTTTCTTTCCAGGCGTTAAAAAACCACCACCGACTATTGATTATAAACATGAAGTGAATAAACAGATCGAAAAGGGAAATCATCGAGAAATACCACTTAAGGCATAAGAATTTAACGCGTTTTAATGAAATTGAACACGGAATAGCAACACGTCACACATTGATGTCTATGTATCAATATAAAGAATTCCTTCTTTAGTTTGTATCAGATATACACATTTAGAATGGTTATATTATCATTATAACCACATCTAGAACCTAACTAATCTTAGTTGTAATGTGTATTCTAAAACGCGGATACACACACTTAGATATATTTTTGTAAATACCTATGTACATATTATAATTGGAAACAGCCAGAACAATGCAAACAGATATATTTTATTCTATCATTCATTTGAAGTGTGATAAAACGTTCCAATGCCTTTCATCTTTTCATTCAATTATAAAGAAAGTTATCCAAACATATTTTCAAACCTCCTTTCTAAGGAGAGGCCTATGTCCAGCAGTGGACTAGTATAGGCTGTTAATGATGATGATGATGATTTTCAAAACAGCTACAAGCAAGCTACAGCAAGATGTTGGATTTGATAAATAGGTTTTAGCTAGTGTTAAAAAGGAAAGTCCATTTAGTTATAGGTAATTAATATTAGTCTGCCTACTAAAATAAGTAATAAAACTAAAATTACAATTTTTTATCTTTTATTATTATCAGTATACCCGTAACAGTAGGTTATTTAGAAATAATTACAATATTGACAAGTTCCTGAATATAATACAAGAATTGGTAAAGCATATAAAAGTAAGTTATGTTGTCATTATTTCTGAAATTAGTAACATAACTCTCTAAAATATGATTTATAATATGGTTCGCGATGAAATTTACTGATATTAATGAAGATTCTATACATTTTTTATACGGTGGCAATACTCTCTGGAGCCACGTCATTTAATTTTATTTTTTTAAATAGACGTACATGTTTACTTTCTTATTGTGTTAAAAAAAAACAAAACACTGGCACAGCATCATTTTTTCAGGCATTTTTTTTAATCCAAAACTATTACATTACGTTCACAAAGTATGAAGTTACTGCTGCTTTACCAATTATTAGAATAATATTCCCAACCGAGATCTTAGTATGTAACGTCGATTGCTATAAACGAGATCTACTAACTATAGTTCATTCGCGTTACGAAAATAGTGACGCATCGAGTAAACTTTCGTACAACAAGATAATTTCTAGGAACCTGATTGGTCAGAGAGCAACGCTTGATCGATTCGTCATCATTTTCTTAAGGGTGTATAGATTATAATCACCTCGTTATATTTATTTATTATGGAGATTTCGTTCCACACACAAAAAATCATTATGTACAAATAAAGCTATACTTATAAGATTTTTTAGATATATCTAACTTCGGATAAGAACCTTTATATAAAATAAAATAAAAATTCTGATGAGTTGTGATGTCTGGATTCCTTGAAAGTCATCAAGTTCAATAAACATAACATCAGACCGTTTTTCTTTCAGACATATTCATACCTTTACTTTTGAAATTATTAAGGAATATATTTTAATGTGTTTCTTAAAAGAAAACACTAAAAGCATAAAGTAATAGTTAAATGCCATAAAAATACAACAAACAACCAATTTGTAATTTCAACAAAAAAAAAGTTTTTGGGATGTGGTCCAATGTTACCATAAAATTACTTTAGTTATAATTGTAGCCCATTGCGAAATAAAAAAATAATACAATCTTTAGTCATCAAGTAATTTATCACAACTACTTATTTTATATATCACAGACATGATATAATTCTTATCCTAAATTTGAGATTATCTACATAAGTACCTTAATGTGAATGTCCCACTCCCAACGTTATTCCTATATTACCAGTACATCAATATTATTTACACTTCGTTCTCTTGGTATTACTAAATCAACTCTATGGTGTAACTCCTTTCTCAACAACAGGCCATCCTCAGTTGCCGTTGATGGCAGCCAGTCTGAGCCATATTTTATTACATCCGGTGTACCACAGGGTTCCAATTTGGGACCACTATTTTTCAAGATATTCATCAATGATATACATGTGTACATGCATTCAACACCGTATCTTTTCGCAGATTACTTAAAATTGACCCGTATAATTTTGAATGAATCAGATGTAATATTACTTCAAGCTGACTTAGATAATTTAAATCAATGGTGTCTGAGTGACAAGATGAAATTAAACTGTGCATAATGTTACAACATTAAATTCACCAGAAAACGCAACAAAATCCCATCTAAGTACAACATTCGAGGAGACAAATTAAAAGAAGTAACTACTATCAGAGATTTAGGAATACATTTGGACAGTCAACTTAACTTTATACATTATGATAACTAAATCAGCATATCGAGCCTTAGGTTTTGTACTACGTTCCTCGAAAGAATTTAAAAAGCCATCAACCATGATCCTTTTATACAATAGCTATGTACTAAGTCATTTTTCACAGAATATTGCAGCACGGTATGGAACCCAATGGACCAAGTTCACATAGACAAAATAGAACAAATCCAAAAGAGACTAGTTCGACATCTAGCTTACCGTTTTTGGGTTAGGAATTTAAGGACGAGGATAAACTAACGCATTTTAAACTTATAATCTCTGACCTAGTATTTCTATACAAACTGTTCCATATATTAACTGTCCCTACCTCCTCAGTAAAAGTAGTAAAAGTGTTCCAACTAGCATCCCTCGCCCGCTATTTAAGGTCCCACGGGCCCGAAAGAATTTAGGGAAGCAATCACCAATTGCTAGGATGACACGAATATGACACCATTTCAGTTCCTTCGAGGGACATAGACATCTTTTCTTATAGTCTAATTTTTTTTTAAAAGTTCGTACTCATATATTGAACACTTTTTAATTGTTGCCATACCTACCTGCCATTTAAATATTAATCACTACTGATTTACTATTTTTGCACAATTAATCGTTATAGTTCTTTCATTAGTTTTTGCCATTTGCTGCCACTATTTGCAATCTTTTATTTTGTAATGTTCATGTTGTGGTTTCCTATCATTATGGAAGCACATGACTTAAAATTTTATTTGCTGTAAAACAAGCTTGTAAGGTGTGTTTCTTGTTGAAGATTTTATAAAAAAAAATAGCCAATTCGAGTCACGGGTAACCGACCCTGTAATCCTCGAGCTATTGTTTACTTTCACCAATCAATCCGTATAATCAGTATGCTTCCCTTTTTATATAAATTTCCTTTCAATATAGTTAAAATTTTCTCATCAAGTCCTTACAAGACAAGAGACAAGCCAATTGCCGTCAACGGCAATTGGCTTGTCTGACAGCAATAGGCTTTGCCCTCAATTAAGTGGGACTTTTATTGAAAATTATAGTCAGCAGTGTTGGCCGTTAATACATCTCTGTCTACCCCTACCCTTGGGATATAGGGGTGACTGTATAAGTAAATACATTTATTTATATACATATATTTTATAAATAGGTGTGTGTCAAGTCAAGAATCTGCAGTCAACCTTAAGTACTAGAAAACTAACAAAATATATTTAAACATATTGAATAAAATATTATCATGAATTGCCGTTGCCGGTGACATGAGAGATAGATATGCGTATTTGATATTTGATATTTTTTGTGTTCTTAGATACCGCCTTAAACATTTTTGGTAAAAAAAAATAACTAAATGATAATAAATGAAACATCACAATACCCGCCAATTATCATTCTTAGGCATAAGAGTTAACGTGTAAATACTTTAAAGCCCGTATTTTAAAAGACGTCTCAAGTATCGGTTGAACTCTGATTACTTAAAACTAGTTTTAAGTGCAGATCAAAAAGTATCGATCTTATTATAGAACGCGTTTTAAGTTTTACTCATTTGAAACTAGTTTCAAGTATTGATTTGAGCTTACAGTCTGTTCTCAATTACGATTCTACATGATTGACATTATTCTTCCGTATTACGCAACTAGTTATTTGAAAAATATTTTTTTTACAAAAATAATTTCTGAGAATTTGTATATAGTATACTATTGTTTGTCTAAAATAAATGTAATAAATATTAAAATAAAAATGACTAGATATAGGCTATACCGAACGTTCAAGTTATTTATCAACACTTGTCATGTTGAAATGTTAAATAATGATTTTATTTTTATTTTTCCAAAATTTATGTCTTGTGATGATTTTTATTTAAATTAGTATTGTGTGTGTAAAATGTAAATTTCAGTGAATTTAATAGCGTAATAATTAAAGTGAATGATAAGTAATTCTTTCGTAAATAGAGTCAATCTTTCGTAATTATTCAGAAATAAATCATCGTAAAACACATTTATTGCCCCTAAAAAATAGAAATCACCGCTTGAGACTAGTTTCAGCTTGTAAACAAAGATCATACCTAAAAGAAGCTAACACACTTGAGTATGGATCAGTGAATCTCGTTTTAAGTGACGTTTAGTAATAAAAACACTACTTAAAATTAGTTTTAAGAATAGATTTACGACTGAGACACCATTTAGAATATGGGCCTAAGTCTTTTATGCGATTGGGGCCAATGCGGTATGTGGAGAAACGGATGTTATGACCCATATAAAGACAGATTCCACATAGCTTTCATTGCACGATGCAGGCCTAGTAGTGTGTTCGGTGTGTCTTTGTTAGAAGTATGTTTTTTCGTTGTACGTGGAATTCGTAATCCTAAAAATCACAAGTAAATAACCGTAAATATTTTAACTTAAGAGCTATAATATTGAAAATACGTAAGAAACCGTGCAAATATGATCAGCACGAAGAAGCAGGCTACCATGTATTGTACCTAGTTCCTTATCTACCTCTTTGCAGTCCTCCGCTGCATTGCAGGCTAAGTTACTATTCAGCTAAAATTAAGGAATCCTAATGAATTATCTATGCTTTAAAACTTTACCGACATAATTCATGAATCTACTTGAGAACTCTACTGTCAGGCGATATTTTAAAGCTAGATACCCTAACAATCTATGTAGTACAGCGAATCCTAGAAGTGCAAGAATTTGCATGCTGTAATCATGTTCTTGCATTCCTAAATCCCTTAATATTATTCTCGGGTCATTATACAAGCAAAACGGATCTGGACAGTCCAAATAATTGCGGTGTTGATACAGTGCAAGAGAGAAGCTAGTTACTCCGTATCGAAGGAAAGAGAGTGACATCAACAGTTTCATAGAACTTTCTATATAAGAACCGAAACCCAGGCCGTAGCTTGCCAGGGCAAGGAGAGGTGCGGCTAGAGCTGGGGCTAGTATGGAGCCATTCTGAAAATAACATTAAAAATATTAAGTACTAGCTTTTTTCAGTGCGGATAAATCGCGTTATACGTCTGCTTATATTTGACAAAATGTGTATGGAATTTCATGACGATATGATGGTAGGTAGTTCTTGAAGCGGTAACTAATTCATTTTTATTATGTAAGTGTCTGTAGCGATTTTTTAAATAAAATAACTGTTTTATTCAGTTATGACACTTAGTAAAAAAGGTGGGATATGAGGTAGGTACATACCTACTCCAAACTTTACGACAATACTTACAGTTGCACTAACTGCCGAGCCGATAGCTAGTCCGAACCCTTCAGAACAGATAGAGATGACTATGCCGGCGATGGAGAATAACACAAACCTGTCCCATTCCAAGAGTTGCCCTGACATCAGGTACGTAGTAGCCAAGAATACCATGCCGAAGAAGAACTGTAATAAATGTTTTTTTGTTAGTCTATTGGTTGTAGCCAACTGCGTTAAAAACTGCCGTGAAAAACATACAATAATATTCATCTAGGACGTATTACACAGCTCTCTGAAGTTATAGGTATATGGTTTGTGAACTTTTGTTTCGTTTGTACTACGGGTTGGTATTAAAATACGGATAAATATGGCACTTAGATATTTGTATTGAGCAGGTATCAATCCCGTTATCGTCGTAATGCAGTTGTTCGTAATGTTATTGGTTCGTAATTTGTCCGTCGGTAATTGACGACTCGTTGTCGGCCTTAGCTTAAAAATGACAGCGATCCGTCTAATAGGCGTTGGCGCTGCATCAATAGATGTGACGGTGTGCTTACACCCGTTTTTTAGTCCGTTCATTCATTTGCCGTTTGACGGGCCTGTTGGTCTAGTGGTTATTGACTCTGACTGCTAAACCGGAGGTCGTGGGTTCGATTCCCACCCAGGACAAATATTGTGTGATGAACACGGGCATTTGTTGTGTGTATGGGTGTAATTTATCTATAATATGTATGTATTTATAAATATATATATATGTTTATCAGCAGTCTGGTTACCATAGCACAGGCTCTGCCTAGTTTGGGATCAGACGGCCGTGTGTGAGATGTGTGAGATATTATTAATTATATTCCAGGCTAACGTGCCATCAATGTTCGTCATTGAAACTGGTCTTGTCAACGCAAAATGCACGAAATATCGTAAAAGTACTAACCATCGTAGGAAGAGTAGAGAATGTTAATGCAGCGTAATAGGGTTTCAGACTATACCAGCGATTGAAATACTCTCGACGAAGTAATCTAACTTGCAGTGGAACTGAAACAAACATATGAAGTTTTAGACTGTAGGCTGTACCTACATTGGCATAGGGAAATATGGGCGGTAAAACGTTTTTCTGTTGGCTCCCTACATTTTTTTTAAATATTCCGGCAATAATTTATCAGCCCACAAAATTTGTGAAATGAATTCAAATAAAATCAAAATGTTTATTGCGAACGAAGTGTACATAATGGTATTGTACGTAAATTTACATCTTGCTATAATTCAGCAAAGTCAAAGATAATCAAAGGTCTAGTAAAGCATATTACTTACATAGTAAGACAGGCACCATTGTATGTGTATATACGAAGAATACTAAACAGGTGAGGCAGAACTTGAAGTTGACGATAGGCATTCCAGCATTGTTGCCGACTTTAAAGAATATACTGCCGATTATTAATCCTGATAGGATGTGGTGCGCCAATTGAATCCACAGAGCTGTCTGCAAGTAAAACAAGACACTTTTAATTTCTGGACTCGTGGATAGATAGATAAATCTCATTATTGTACAAATAAAATTATCCCGTATCCATTAAGGAATATACATTGTTAAGGAATAACAAATCGGAAATAGATTGTCGCATAAGTTGTTTAAAGCTCAATTTTAAAGAACACCTTATGAGAAATTACTAGATAATAAAGTTTTACATAAATAAATACATAAATACAGGCACGTCTTCGCCGGTAAGACAGTTCGGTTTGAGCTATTGTGCGATAAACATCGCAGTGATCAAATCGAATAGAAGAGTAACCCAGCGAGAAACAACTTTTCAGAATCGTAGACTGTAAATTTATTTCTCATATAACATTCACTTTTTACTTTTTTAAGAGGTGTTCCGTATTGAAGTTACCACCAATGGGACCTCATTTACTAAGTCTTCGCTGTGTATTTGTCTATCTGTGGTCATATACATATATCTAAATAATATGTAAACATAGTATGCATACATTATAGTTTTCTTTTGCGACCATGAGATCCCACCAAAACCATTTTTAGTAAAATGTGGCCAATACGAGACCATATGGCTCACACTATCAAAAAGTTATCAGAAATCATGTAGAGCCAGAGATTTAGATGAAATTTGATATAGAGATAGTTAGAGTCCCTTGAAAAGACAGGATAGTTTTTATCTCAGAAATAGTCCTTTAAGTGGGTAAGGGAGGTGGAAGTTTGTATGGGTAATTAGTAACCGCTGAACCGATTCAGACGAAATTTGGTATGGAGATAGTTTGATTCTTGAGAAGGGACATATGTTACTTTTTACCACAATAACCGATATACATATGAGTGGAGTCGCGGGCAGGAGATAGTTTAATAAATTAGCTTTTGCCCTAAAGCTAAAAAGTAGTAATACTAAATTTCATCCAAATAGCCTAACATAACTAATCAGCCCTTTTCTGCAATAAACTTGCATTTAGCCGATTCATTTATGGACACTTACCGTATTCCTCGTAGTCTGTACGAACATACGCTTACTAAGAATGCAGAACTGCGTCCAGAAACTAGTGGCGTATTCCATCTTGATCTTTTCTTTAGACATATGTTCCACGAAAATCCGTTGTACAGATTCATCCGAATGTAAAATTGGTTTTCTGGAACAAAAAGAATATTTAGCGTGAAGTTATACTTAGACCAAAAGTAGCTGCGTAACTCAGCAGATAGCAGGACTACGCTAACGCTAAAGAAGACAACATGGTCTTCAAACGATATGCGTAGTGAATCTCCTTATAAAATAATATACATTTTATACATTTTATACGAGGGTGGGCATTTTATACGAGGTGTATAATATGTCACAAGTGCATGCGCATGAAGCGAGAAATTAGAGCTGCCAGGACCGGACAGTCTACAAAAGGATGAGAATAAATGTTTACAGTGGAGATTAAACACAAAAAAGCATCAACTTGAGGGTTTTAATGAAAGATGTGTTACTTACTTGCCACCTCTAGCGGTTATTCTATCAAGGCTTCTACACAGCTTTCCGTTCATGCACAGCTCGGAGAGTTGAGCCGTAGACTCGGCGTCAATCACGAGAGTCTCGAGGATAAAGTCCGCTGGGTTATGTGTGGTAGGACAAACGTAGCCAGCTTCAGCCATAAATGGTACAAGTAGCTGTGGCACCCCCTGAAGCAAAATATTCAATCACCATTTATTTTCCTTAGTGCTGATTAGTGGTAAAAAAACTGTTAATTCTTATTAGAAATAATGCCACATATGGTTAAAATGTATTATAAGTATAATATTTATAATGTGTTGGTACTTATTGATAAATAAATGTCAGAAAACTAACCATTGATACAGACCAAGGTATTGGTCTCTTAAGATTTTAATGAAAATTACTGGGTTTCTTTTATAACTTTTATCCTCATTTTTTCTTTGTTTTTTTGCTGTTTTTGTGTTTTTGATACTAAAATTATAGTTAATTTAAAAATCTGGACCGAAGTAAATGGTTGATAATAGCAAATAAAAAGAAATTGTAAAAAAAAATATTTTCTTTGAGCAATATAAAAAAAAACCATTAAGTTGCAGATATGTTAAAAAAAAAATTCGTATTGACAGCTATCTAGCAAGGTGAAACAGTCTAGGGTAGCATCAGAATTCATAGAAGAAAAGAAAGATAAATGACCGGGTGTATTAAGAATCGAAAATATCTCATTCGCGGAATGTTGCTCCAGCATGATGATTGCCCTGTGCATTACACGAGAAGTGTAAAAGAATGGCTAGATTCTAATTATCGTAAGTGGATATTAGGATATTAGTGGCATTTGCATTTATCCGAAAAAATCAAGATAGTAACATATTACTTATTCGTACAGGTCATCATCTTCAGCAGTATCTGAAGCATAAATCAAAGTCAAAAATGTTAAAAGTCAAATATCTTGAAAATGGCTAGGTTTGAGATATGGTACTTCATAGGGAAATATTTATGTAATAATGGCTACTACAACCTATTATTTTGTCTGTGCGGAAATCGATTCGGATACCACCTACCGGTGGTTATATCGGACATGAACCGACCAAAAACCGCACGCCGTCTCGGGTACCAGTAGCCGGGGAACCTGGTGTACCCTAGGAAGGAAATCCCTGGAACCCCGACGGATCCCGGGCCATTTACGGCTTGTAGATGACCCCCACGTTACTACAATCCCCTAAAGTATCTAGGTCGACTTGACCACTACCTAACCCTATATACATACATAGATAATCAACCTGAGAACTTTAATTGCGCGATCCAGTATGTATTGCTGCACGTAATATGAAAATGATTGTTCGGCATGAAACAATCACTGCTTTCAAATTTCAGCACCCTACGCGTACGACATGTATATACAGGACACCACAAATTTCCATGATATACGAGGCAGTAAAACTCGAGTCATGAATCAAATAATGATAAATGAAATCAAATAATGAAAATGAATTAATCTTCAAATATTAAACACTAGATAGACTTTTTTACACTTTGGTATCCAGTCATGTAGAAAAACAATTGAATAACTTGCCTTACTTGAGACTGATTTGATTTAATATACTAGAGTTTAAGACTAGGTGAGAGGTCTTCTTGCTTCAATAAATTCTTTAGAGCGACAGACGATCCACCAACAAAAAGGTTGACAAAATTTAATTATAGTTCTGAATGGTTATAAGATATAAATATTCTTGGATCTCTTTCAACATGCTGGAATTATCACCTCTGCTTTATAGATAATAAAAGGTATATTTTTTTAAAGGTTCTTGTACCACTATTGTCACAATAAGGACACTTGTCGTGTTAAAAAAAAAACTTTTGATAAAACAAGGAATTCTACACAGGTTGAACATACTCATTCACTTAAAAACAATGCTTTTGGTTACATTCATTTCTACTATACTATAATAAATGTTTGTATAAATAAATAAATATACGTTGTAAATGTTTTATATATACCGACATAAACCTTAAGGAGTGTCTAATTGACAAGTTATCGAACACGCCTAAAGCGACCTTCTTTTTTATTATGTAAAAGTTTACAAATTTTAATACATTACGCTTGTTTCAGTAACAAAAATGCAATTGATACTTACTTAAAACGTAACCAGAAATTAATTTTGTTAAAAAATATAATTTTAATTGGTGTATAAAAGTTCATAAAAACAAAATCCAATAGAGTTTAAAGTAAACACCATAAAAGCGCTTTATATCTAGACCATTATTCACGCGGGGGTTTAGTAAAACACTAAAGTTATGGCAGTCTATTATCAACACATCATTTTAGGGTTAAACACATATCTTAGCTATAAAGTTTATGTTTTAGCAAAACCTCGTTACGGTTCCCTCACTAAATGAAGGTCTAAGTTTAACGTGGATATTTTAATAAGTACCTACACTTAGTTAATTTAAAGTCTTCTTACTTAGTAGATCTTATGTTTGCAACGACGATAATGTTATTATATTTATTATCACTCGGGGCTGTTCTTTTTTAATAAATTCATCATCACATCTCAAGATCAACAGCCTTTAATAGTCCACTGCTGGACATAGGCCTCTCCTTAGAAAGGAGGTTTTGGCCTACTATACCACGCTGGCCAGACGGGTTGGTATAGGGTTTGTGTCAAGTTTTGCTTCTCTTTGCAGTGCTGTTGTTCTGCGTAGTTTTCTTCCTTAGTCGGCTTTAATAAATTGGTACTTGGAATTTCATTCATGACTTACGGCATAAAAGCGTAACAAATAAGCAAACAAACTTACTTGCCTTTGTAATATTAGTTTGGATTTTATCAAATGAATATTATCAAAATGGGATCTCTATAGATTCTTTGTCAGTCTATTTGTGTGTCTTTGTGTATACAAAGGCTCACAAACCGACTGACAAAAAAGGCGATGATCCATTTTCAGATAATTATGAGTTCATAATGTCAAAAGAATTCTTAAATAAGTGTCATAAATAGTAACCATTAAATTTCAGATTTTTCTTTTACTATTAAACTTTATATACCAATATTATAAAATAAACTGCTTCTACAGAAAATAAATACGTCAAAAGCAACAAAGAGTATCTCAACATTTTAAACATAAAGTAATGTCAGTCCAGAGTCGGATCCAGGAAATTAAATTGCCACTTCATGTTTTGCGCCCGGTTTATGTCGGAAAGCTTTGGTAGAAGTTAGCAAAGTCATTGTCACTTATTTGAATCCGCTATTGCCAGGTACTTATTTGATGGTACATTTTTAATGCTTTTTGCGTTGTATCAATGTCTTATGTAAATATTCCAAAACTAAGATTAGGTTTTAAAATTCCAATGCCAGTAACTTAATATTTTATATTTTCTTTCGTCTAATTATGACAAGCGAGGTAAAATACATCTGTGGTGCCGTATTTTATACTTTTTGTCGAGGATAGTTGAATTGAATGATATATAGGTCGTGGCACGAGTATTTTTAGGCAAATTATAATATTTATAAATGATTTTTTTGATTTATAATTGATTTTTAAAAATCAATTATAAAGTAATTACTACAAAAATTTAAAAACTAATCAAATTAGTTTCTTATCTTGCTCTATATTTTAGAAATCGGGGGTAAAAAATAGGGCTCAAGAAATTTAGACAATCCCCATTCGTGTTCCTATTTACCACCTTAATACGAGTAGTTACGATTGAAATACTCGTGCTCAAAGCCGAGGAGGAGGAGAGTAGATATAACATAAATTATTACAAAACATTTTTTCTGAACATTCTATATTTCCAAAGTGATATTGAATAGACGACAACTATGAAAAAGTTTCAGAGAAATATTTTCTCTAAAATATGTGTGTCAAGCTACCAGGAGTATCGATAAAGATATATGTATATTACTCTGTAGAAGTTACCAACTTCTAGCGGATTATCGGAGACGATAAGCCACTAAAAGTGAGAACTTTTAGTGGCTGATAGTTGCGAGTAGTTCGTGTTCAAAGTTTTTGTATATTGATATCTGGTGATAGTTAGTGAGCTAGGTAGGTATTGTCTAATAGACGTTAAGTTCATGGTTGGGTCGCGTATATTACAGCCTGATGAATAATAGTGATCCATTGCCACTTTGAAAAAAGCAACGAAAAAATTGACACCGGTTGCACGGTGTACTGTGAATTATCCTAAAACTCTTCTTGGCCATATCTCCTTACCACTAACTATACATTAATTCTTCTACCATAACCATTAAATAAAATACTCCACTCTTAAACCGCAGTTGAAACTAGCGAAGACTACAATTCTCTAGAAATATCACAAAATGCAAATGAGGCCAGATGTCTTTGAAGGCGGGTACAAACTAATTAATTTGTGACGTAAATCAAATCGTGACGATTTTAATGAATAAACCATTTGATATTGGCTTACGGAAAGTTTCTACTGATTGACATTGCTGTTGATAGCGAGTTGGATAATTAGTTCGGGAGACAATCAAAAGTTTGTTAGTGATGCAAGGCTATTTGTAGGCATTAGGTGCGATTCGAATATGTCACACTCGCATAGGTACTATTACAGACAGATGAATAAAGTTTTCTAATCCGATAGATTAATAATTGTATGAACATCATTGCGTTAGGCTTATATACATAACATAATATAATATTTTTACATATCTCACACACGGCCGTCTATACCCAAACTAGGCAGAGCCGGTACTATGGTAATCAAACTGCTGATAAACATTCTTATATATTTCGAAATACATACTTATTATAGATGAAGTATACCAGGACACAGAATAAATAACCATGCTCATCATACAATTATTTGTCCTGGGTAGGAATCGAACCCATGACCTCTGGGGTAGCAGCCAGGGTCACTAACCACTAGACCAGGGATTACCAAATTATTATACTAAGAGACCCCTTTTCCAAAATTGACTGATACCGCCGACTCCATAACTAAACTACTTTAAAAATCTTATCTCTAGTTTTTTCTATAAATACAAAATATTTATCAATTTAAAAACTTTGCTGTTGGTTGAGTAAAGTTGACATCATTTTCTCATCGAAATCGAACAAAACAAATAGACATAAAATTCACTAAATATCTTCTGTAATTATTATTTTTTAATACAAATAATGTTAATTACAAAATGTAAAAAAAAACATGAATACACACAAGCTATACGGTTTCTGGAAAATTTCCAATAAGAACTTGTGTTAATAGGGGTCGATTTAGAACCTCGTCGACCCGCAAAACTAGTTTTCATTTATGTCGACCCCGTCGTCGTATCGATCGGGGAAATCGATTTGAACCCGAAGGGGTCGATATTGACCACTTTGGAAATCCCTGCACTAGACGAACAGGCCAGCAGCACAAACGGGCAAGCTAAAGAAACCGGTGTGATACACACACGGCCTCACACAGAACACGAGTATTAAGATATCATCAAAAAAACATACACCCAAGTCTTTGACCTCGTGTGGCACACAGGCATATTAATCGTATTCAATTTCAGGCCTTTGTAAATGTAGTTTAATTTTCATACAAGTGTTGAATTTTTGGGTTTATTTTCGACGTATTCTACAAATCGAAAATAAACCCAAAAATCGTCGGTGTTGTATATCATCATACATGTATTCACGAAAATTGATAGTTTTCCGTTTTTATGTAAGGTTAGTATTGTATTTACTTTTAATATTATTAATGTATGAACAACAACAACACTAATAAAATGAACGTTTTTAAAAGATTATGCAAAAATTTAATTGTATTTTCTACATTTTAAGTTGGAAAATTTAAAATATGTATAATTTATTATATATATTTTGTTTGGAATTCCCATCTTAATAATATGAAAAATACAATACAATTTTATTTATTTATTTATAATTACTTAATGCACAAGTTGTACACAGGCGGCATTCTCTGACCCTAAGTCATGTAAAAAAAATAAAAAATCGGAAACACACGTTTTTACTTCTGTAGCATATTTTGGTAAACTACCTAAAACTAGAAGATGCATGCATTGAATAGTTGCTCTAAGCCTGTATGTAAGGTATCCTCTGTAGTTATACTGATTAGCTTAAATTAAAATGAGCATCTGAAGGGTAGCTCTGAGCTATTTATATGTAGTGGAAAATAAATACACAAAGCTTAAACAACACCTTCAAATTATCTACTACTACTACTTATCTACCAGTATTACTACTACTACTACTGTCTACCCCAACATTGTCCGTGTGGTGACGGATTAAGAATACGGTGTGTCACCACCCCTATTCATCCATCAAATTTTTGAATTATTGCTGTATGATACACTAGAAACGGATACACAACTAACAACTAACATAGAAAGACTATTATTATATATGTGGAATAAAGTTAAAATTAGATTATTTAAATAATGTACATGCCCACATATTTTATTAATCTTTTTAAATACAGAGCGATTACGATAAAATTAGAACAATAAATGAAATACTGTTTAGACAGAAGAATTTTTAAGCTGTCCGTGTTATTCCGCCATTGTCTTACACTAATGATTTTGTATAAAGCTAGGTATCTTAGTCGTACACATAGTTTTTCTATTACGCTAGTATACTAAGATACTAAGTATATGATGCATATTTGTCTTCTCTGTTCAATCCGCATGATCATTGTTTGGCTCTTAACAGTCGAACTTTTCTAAAAAAGTTGTAAAAGAAATGCAATTTTTTTTTTTCAATTACTTTAATTACGTTACCTGATAACAACACATCCCTCTTGCCAACACGAAGATCTTATCAAAGAGGGCGAACAGCGACGCTGAAGGTTGATGTATAGTGCAGACTATATTTCTGCCTTGGCGGGAGAGGAGACGGAGGAGCACTACCAGATGGCGAATAGCCACTATATCCAGACCCCTGAAAAAGATTAAACAATATTTAGATACAATGGTAGTGGTATTAAATTAGCAATCAAGAGCTTACAGGTTTGAAACCCACCTAGTAGACTACCGCATTTAATTAAGCTGGATGGGTTGACAAGGATGCTGGCTTTATCAACTTCAACACCCTACTTCAGAAACTTTAGATGCTGCTAATACAATAAACTGCTACATTAACTACGTGGACTTTTTACGAGTTGTTAAGAGAGCAAAAGTTTCTCATGGGGTTCCGTTTATTCTTAAATAGTACTATTCCGTTGCGCCTTCGTTAATCTATATGCTAGTAAAAGACTAAGGGAATAAAAAGCTGACTACATGTTATGGTTGTCTTATTTTAATACTGTAACATAAGATAATTAGAATAATACATGAATGTAAGGTTTAAAATCAATTGTTTTATCGACAATCTCAAGTCGATCACGCGTTTATCCTCTACTGCGGTGGTACCAACAGGAATGTGATCTTCTCGTAACCATGTAGAAACATGAACAAATGATCATGCTTATTACACAATTATTCGTTCTGAGTGGGATGTGAACCCTCGACTTCTTGCTTACCAGTTATTATTACTAACCACTAGAATATCCGGCCAGTCACTTATTCGGCTAGATTACCTATGCATCACGTACAGAATAAGAAAATCTTTCTTTAAAAATATTGAACCGACCTCAAACAATACTAACAAAGAGCACTAAAAACCTAGCACCAATCGCAGTTGATTTGCTGTCATTTTTTGAGAGAGGTTCATTATCTGTTTCCGAAATTTATCATCAGATCTATATGCAATTTAAATGGGACCATTTCGGAATAAACCATTTTCGAACAAAAAAATATTTTTTTAAATCTGTCTATATATGACAGAGTTATGTCCGAACATACATAAGAAAAAATGTAAATATCCAAATTGATAAGCTCCTCCTTTTCAAAGTCGGTTAAAAATGCCTTGCTATCTACAGAAGTTCTCTGGGAATTCAAATATTCCCTGTAATAAAAGGTAAATGTTTAAAATCTAATCTTTTCGATGTGCACGGTTTATTCTATGTTAGAACAAGTTTCATCTCATCAATAAGCATTTTTTTTTTCATCAGCAACTACACGCTATGCGAACATGTATCGTACCATAAAATTACACAAGCTATGCAATATGTTTTTTTAGACAAACCCCTTAATTTTATGGTTTGTTGACGCACCTAAACAAATAAAATTGAATTACGAGTCCATAAAGTTAAACACTGTTTAAATGAAAGCTGTTTATAAAATTTTATGGGAGTCGAAAAGGCTTTGTCAGTTTTATGTAACTTTTAAGGTTCGGCTTTGAAAAAACTAGATTTAATTTGGAAATAAAATCTGTGTTTAACAGATTTTATTTCCATTAAGTTTTTTGAATTATAACCTAACACAAAAAATAAAAAAGAATCACATAATAATGTATTCTGATTTTCAGAATAGGAACAAGGTGCATGGTAGTGTCAGTGTTCAAATCGACTTCAGGAAGCTACATTTAAAAAAAAGTGAAGGTTGAGCCACGAGGCCCAACCTTCACTTTTTTCACCAGATCACCAGATCCAAAATGTAAATTTAAATCTCAACCGTAATAAGTTCAGAAGGTGTCTTTATAAAAGCGACCATAATTAAGGTTAAATAATACCCGGTAGCAAAAATATTTAGCTTTTGAAGTTAATACAAGTAATAAATGCTCTTCATAAGATTGAAGTAGTGGCAAGCCTAGGCAGTATTTATACGTCTAGTATGGCAAAATAACTTAATTTAAAAAATCTTGTTTGAAACCTTAATGCCACTCGTGTTACTCTTGTACTACAAACGTCAGTAGGGGTGACCTAAGGAACCATCAAAGAATTGTTTGTCATCCTTTTCAAAATAGCACTATTTACTGATTGTAGGTATAAGGCGACCTTCTCTGTCTGTAGCTAGTAATAAGTAAAGGAACTTTATTCAAGTTTATTGTTAACTCCTTTTAGTAAAGCTAAATATCGCGTAGATTACATAGTAGCAAACATGTTTCTTTCTAATTTATCTACTGAACTTATAGTTTCTGCCACGTGTATAAGAAAATAGATTAATATCTCAGAATTTGCTACCTATTTAGTATGTCAATACAAGAAAAAGGAATAGTGAATTTCATGTGAGAAAACATAATATTTTAATGCGTCGCATTTAATGCCAGCACTGACATTTTACACGAGCAAGGGAGCAATTTTGTCTAATCTGGTGTGTTCTATAAAGACCCCCTTATTTGAATATAGTCAAGGCTCGCTGCTGGTTTTAATGTAATCTCTTTTTTTTTAAATATCGATAAAATAAAGAAGTAGATTCAATTAAGTTTCATAATTTTAAAAAATCCTAAAGGTAGGTACTTGGATTTTCTTCTTAAGTTGGTATGAATGAAAATGTAGCTTTAACCAAACTTACCACGAGAGAAGCACTTAAGATGCTTCAGTGGTATTATAGTAGTGAGATTGGTTGCCCAGTTCCACACTTCACAATTTCACTTCTCTTTACAATGAGGGAAAGTTGTGACTTAGTAAATACTGAGTCACTAAGTCAATGAATGGCCAAGCAGGAATCGCATAATTTCTGTCCAATCTTAAAGTAGACTTTTCTAATTCAAATTCAATGTATATTTCAAACTTTATTACATTTTTTTGCCAAACTTTATGGAGAATTAATATAAAATCCCTTCACAAAAATTTCACAAGTAAAGCACAAGTTCAAATGATTTTTATGTAATAATACATCTATTCTTAATATAAATTCACCATCTGTGCAGCTGTCGACGTTATTAAAAGAACATCGAAGTTTGGAACAGAAATGTAATCCTTAAAATTCCCTTGCTGTTGTTGAACGTAATCTAATAAGTTGTCGTAGTTTCGGAATCTAGTAGAAGAAGTTTTCAAATTCAACATAAATTAAAGCTCTATGGTTATTTCTCGGGAAAATTGCATTAAATTTTGCGGTATTTTTGATGGGCTTTTGTGACTTTTGAAACCAAATAAATCTGAAAAACTCCGTCGAAAAAAAAAAAAACTTGTTTTTTAAAATGTGTGTTTACAAGTTATATATTATTATGCAGATAGTTTATAAACCCCAGATCATTAGTGTTGTTGAGCATTATTGACATCAAAAAGTTCTCAAGTAAGTATAGTCTTTCTGTGGGATGACGAAGGAATTGAAATTTAATTTAATTTCGAGTATTTGCTATACTTTCAAATAAACCGCGTAACGCAGCTAGTTCCAAAATATAATACATTATAATTACCCGAAATTACAATGCACTGATGGTGGTTACGACCGAAATGTAACCAATTACATATTATTTACATAATTTAAGGAACACAAACAATGTATTGTACAATAATGTCTTAAGAACTAATATGTGTCCACAGTAAAATATCCCGATTTACGCAGTTTTAAGCTCTTTAGGAATCTTTCGGAATCAACGATGCAATTTCTACTATACAGTTATTCAGTTTTTCAGCTAACCCTTAACTACAGTAAATTAATTACTGAACAAAACGTGCTTCAAGTAAAAGACCGACTCTACGAAAATACTTGTAACCCAAAGTAGCCGCTTCAAATTTAGTAAAGTACGAACATATATTTTTATTGAACTTTCTAATTATGACACGAAGTATGGAAATGGTGTACTCTTATTAGTGATTAGTGCTATAGCGGTAATCAGTAGAAAAGACACCAATTAAAATCGTACGAGAAAACCCCACGCTGGTCCACAGCATTAAGTGTAAGTTTCATTCTCGCACCTAGTTTTTCTCCAACTTAACGAATTTAAGTAAATAAAACTCGAATAAAAAAGATCGTTCCACTGAGTGTTCTTAGACTAAAACAAACCACGGACCTTTATTAGAACCAGTGATATAAAGAAAGAAAGTTATGGAAATAAAAGAAATGTAAAGGAGGAAAACGTATGAGTATAATTTTTTTTTTATCTGTATTAGTATTTAGTATGGTATTTATCTTGTATCTGTGCATGAGTGGGTATGTATTTAAGACACATCATCATCATCATCATCATCAACAGCCTTTAATAGTCCACTGCTGGACATAGGCCTCCCCTTAGAAAGGAGGTTTTGGCCTACTATACCACGCTGGCCAGACGGGTTGGTATAGGGTTTGTTACAAGTTTCGGCGCGCCTGGCCACAAGGGGAGTCTCCCTGGTGGTCGGGCGCATTGAGGCGCTGGGCTTACGGGTGGCCCTAGATAAGACGGAGGCCCTGTTATTTCATGGGCCCCGTCGTGGTCCACCCCCTGGCGCCTCAATCGTGATCAACTCGGTCCTCGTACCGGTTCGGGCCCAGATGAAATATCTGGGCCTGATCCTCGACGGGAGGTGGCTCTTCGACGAGCACTTCCGACAGCTTGCTCCAAAGCAGGTCGGCGCTGCGTCTGCCCTAGGGCGACTTTTGCCCAATTTGGGTGGACCCAGCGTCGCGACAAGACGGCTGTACACGGCTGTAAACCCCTGAGGGGTGAGGGTCCGAGGGGATTTCCACATGTTAAAAAAAAAAAAAGAAAAAAAAAAAAGGGTTTGTTACAAGTTTCCCTTCTCTCTACAGTGTTGTTGTCCTGCGTATGTCCTCTGTATTCTTAATCCGTCACCACACGGACACACAATAACAAATTTACATGTAAAAACAATAATTGCTCTTAAAATAAAATTCTATTTTTAATCCGGTAAAAAACAATGCTTTGATTCAAAACAGGAATATACAGAAATTAAGTAATGATCATGATGTGCCAAGTACCTGCATTGTACCTACTGTATAATTTAAAGACCGCATATTAAATGATAATTATTCTTAAGCTTTGCTTGTTCGAAACGGAGACAATAGACTGTCTTGGGGCTCACACTTTTATCTTCACACGATTATTTTTAAATATATTATCGAGGAATCAGATGCGTATCATGAGTTTCAATAAATACAGCTTAATATAAATCGTATGATTCATGATTACAAAGAAGTAATAAAATAAAGGGTCCTGTATATCGGGAACTAAAATAAAACATTAGTGGGCCGAAAATCAAATGAAATACCTTTCAATTACTTACATTGATTACACTAATTTTGTTTAACCGTACTCCCTCCCACATCCAACCTTCATACAAATACGTCTGCTATAAATCCTACGCTCAACCATGACAAAGAATAATTAATGAAAACATTCCTTTTAGAAAAGTGGACTAAATTAATAAATTTACAAGGGGATCAATTCAAAAGGTTTGTGAAATCAGTACTTTCTACAGGTAACGTTTATCAATATTGACCCATTGCGATAGATGATCCGAATTTTACTTAACACGGTTCAGGCTTAACGTCCAATAAAAGGTTATGGCGGGACGCGGTGATTAGAGCATTTACCCCATTGTACTTATGTAATTCCGTTTAGGTTTTTCGGATTGGAGCTTGACCTTTTTGGCAATTTATTTAGAATCAAAATATTTTTCGTTTACATTCAACAAAAAGAATTAGTTATTTGAAAAACACAAAGGCAATTAGGTTTCATTTCATGTTGAGAAGGGTTTCGTATCAAACGCTTTATCTAGATGTTACGATAACAAAATGAAGTTGAATTAGTTTTCAACAAAAGTAAACGAATAACATAAGATGGATAATGGAACTTTTTATGGTTGCAGAGACCTCAGAGATTCTAAAGAAACTATCCTTCACACATGTACATTTTGTCCATTTTTTCTATAGCCCTTGAAGCACGTGTTCAAAGTTTTGTGGAAACGTCGTCAGAAAAAATACACAACCCAATCAACAAACATGTTTAATTTTGCATTTAAAGTAAGTATTTATTAGTAAGAATTTCGATTGATATAAAAACGTGTTTATTATATGCATGTACGTATTTTACGCATTCGTGAGTATAAAATATACATATCATTCCTTTTTATCAGTAACAATAGAGGGAAAAGTTTGTTCCTAAATTATGTAACCTACGCTACCCAAAAGTTACGTTAAATAAACTATATGTAACCCTTATTCACTTTTATTCAATACCGCTACAAAAAGTATTCCAGCACACTTTTTCTTTCACAACCGAGACAATTTCTGTACAAAAGTTGTTCCCGACGAACACATGGGTTGTCATAATGATGCCAATTACTCATGTTTAATCCAAGGATTACATTTTTCCTCGACCAGGATTACACCAGTTACAGCGGTCGCTTCTAATTGCTTTTTATAACCGTACAGGTTATAAAAAGCAATTAGAAGCGACCGCGAAAATGCAGTAGGAATAAAGAAACGACTCGTTTTTGTTCATTAGTTGGATAGAAAAACATGCAGGACTTTTCGTGTCACTGTCACGTCTGTCGTGGCATGGCCACCATTATGGATTTTAATTTTGATAACACAAAACTGTAGTCACTAATTTTTTGAAATTTGTCGTCATATATCAGAATTTTGTCGGTTACTAGTTCAAAAGTTATAAGGGTTCCTAGGTGGCCGACCTAGCGAGAATCTTCCCACGTCGGCCACGCTTATATCTTAAAAAACTAGGGCACCTAGCGAAGATCTGTTTTCTCCCAAATTTAGTCGTTAATTATTCGCATTTTTTGCATTTTTTTACTACATCACATTAAAAACTACAATGTCTATAGTACAAGTTAAAATTAGAACAGTTGTTTCAGGTAGTTAGATACATACCCCAGTTTCGAACACATTATATTAGGGATGTTACTGGCGTCAACATACTTGTATGATAAAGTAAGTGAGATAAGGCACACGCATTTTTACGTTCATATTCTGTAGTGAAACAGAAATCTGGGGGCAAACAGAAATTTGGGCCCTTGTAAAGTCAAGCAAAAACAAAGGCACGGCCATGCCATACTTGTCTAGAAGCTATAGAGAATGGAAAATATTATGAACTCTATTGATGAATAAAGCTACAAGCTTGTATTTTCAGGAAAAAGGAGGACCTAATGTAATCCGTATTCCATAATTTTATCGCTGACTCACTCACCGATCATTAAAATTGTTTATTATTAATTCTAGCATATTTTGCGGTTAGTTTATAAAGTAAGGCCGAACTCAAATAAACTAGTTACTATACTATTTAACTTTCGTTTTTTGGGAATACTATCACGCAGATAGTATACCCACACAATAGCTATACAATGGCTTAGTTAAATTATTTGTAGCACGATGTATTTGTAAAAAAAGACTGCACGGATGGTATAGTGGTTTAAGCGGTCGCAACACCGCTTACTACTGCGGTGAGTGTTGTGGGTTTGATCCCCACATGCGACGACACTTTGTGTTATCCACCAATTGTTGTTCGGAGTCTGGGTGTTCTTTGTGTTGGTTTCGTGTTTGTAAATTCCCCCGCGATACAGGATATATTCCTACTGCAACGTTTTAGATGGAATTGCAGTTTTAAGTCGTTCGCTTAAATAATAGTATAATATTCTGATATTATTACTTTGCATTTATCAGAGATCAAATTAAACATATTATTACATTTTATTCAATTCACAAAAGGTTTTTTTGGTATTAGAATTAGTCCGAACAATTCCTCGGAGCACTCTCCATGATATATGCGATAGAGAATGCAGAGTGATGCAGAGTGCTCTACGTAATGCTAAGGGATCGAGCCGATCGGAGATGTTTGACCTTACCCTCTTAGTGACCCCGAAACTGGACTTCACTCGATATGTCGATGCCTATTCTGATGCTGGCTGAGGCAGTTAGAGATGTGCTCTTAAACCGAGGTGATACGACAAATGGTATCTTCATGGCGGTGAACGCACAGACCTGTGTCTTTTTTGGGTTAAACTGGACTAGATTTAGTCGGCCCAAATCTAAAACCTCCGCTGAGTTTCAATTTCAGACACAAGTTTTTTTCGACTCTCGATGACGTTTTCCGGAGAAATATTGGGGCGGCCGGTGTAAAGGGCATCTCCCGTGCTATCATCTGCATAGCAATGGATGCAACTAGTGATTATTTCTTAAAAGCTATCGCAAAGGATGTTTTTTATTATCGTCTATTCATACAAATACCTACAATTATAAATTATTAATAAGTAAGTAAACAAAGACACATTTATTTCTGTAACTGAATCCGATAACTGAGAATTTATTTTTTGTTTTGATTCGTATTTCGATTGTTTTCAATTTGTTTATTTTTTCGTTGAAATTGAATTGTAGTACGAGTATATTTGTTTTGTATAAGTATATAAATGTGAGTATAGTGTAGGCTTGTAATATTAGTTCATATCTCAGTAACTATCTGGTGGTTTTGAATGTTTCCAGAGCCTACTCAACTGTCCTGCTGGCGGTAGTGTCGTGTTCCGGGTTGTTGATCCTGACTATATCGGTTAGGCTACACGATGACTGGGACTTAAAGAAAAAAAACACCTCTGAGGTTAGTATAGGCGTTTCTTCCCAGAGTGAATCTTAGAAATGCCAGCGCCTTCTAGTTGTAAAGTCCGACTTTCAATGAATGACTACGTTTTTAGAATTAAAATTTTATTAAATCGCAGTAAGATTCGAATTAAGATGTGAATTGTGCCTGATGTGGTTGCATCGGACTTGTACTTCAACAATTTAAAAGCAATTTCAAGTCATCAGGGCAAAACAATACAAATTTGAATTAGATACTTACTTTGCGATTATGTGCAAAGTTTTTGTCCGATATAGCTAATTTCTACTAAAACAAATAAAATATTATATAGTTTTGTTAGTAATTATTAGTTGAAGGGCATGAAAGTTATTTAACTCACGTGGTAGGCTCGTCTAAAAAGATAACTGGCGGGTTATTGACCAGCTCCAAAGCAACTGACAGTCGCTTTAACTGACCGCCGGACAACCGCTCAGACATGGTATTCCTGTGATCCCAGAGGCCAAGGGTTTGAAGAATCTCTTCTACCTAATAAAACAAACAAAAAATATAATATAAATAATAAATACACAGATTGTATGGATCGTTTGCAGACCTCAAATTAGGCAGAGCCTGTGCAGTTTTCAGACTACTGATATACATACTCTTGCATTTCTAATTAAATACATATTGACACACCCAGACTCAGGATATATGATCGTGCTGATCACACAGTTATTCAGAACCAATAACCACTAGAGTAAAAAAAATGAGAAAAAGAAATTTAGCCACGATCTCGTACCCGCCAAAACTTTACATTACTACTACAACCTAAATCTAGGGATTTAGGTTGAACGTAGTACAATATAAATCCTAATTTGGAATAACATTATTTCTTAATGAACAAAAAACTTTTTGGGTGCTTTTAAACCTTTTATGAGCATTATGTACACGGAAATATTACTTGTTCTCTATGGAATTAAAAAAATAACATATTTTTATGTCTAAGTTATAAAAAAATAGAAAAACTTATAATAATGCCCTAAAGGGATAAGCCTATTAAAGATCTCTTTTATGTAAAGTGGATTTACTTTAGAATTTTAGGTTATAAATTAAGTAATGTATTTTCTGATCGTAAAAACTTCAATTTAAATTTAATAAATCTTTATGTCTCGATTACTTTGAGTTGGCTAAGTCGACCTAGAAAATTATTTTTACATTAAAAAGAGTATATTTTTTAGTTGATAATCTCGTAATTATAATCAGACCGAAATGTAATAAATAGATTCTGGGAAAATTCAAGCAATTATTAAATAATTACTAGCAATATTATTTAAATATTATCATCATTTAACACGTACATTTTCTCAGCAAAAGAATTTAATTATGTGAAAATGATAATGAAGACCACAAATGGACAGCCAAACTACTCAATACTAAGAATTTAAACTGATTGGTATTAAAGCACTTTAATATTGTTGCTAAGCTATTTTTATACGTAGTAATGTTTGGGTGATTATTTTGTAAAAGGTGATTAGCAAATAACATGACGCTATAATAACGTTGACTCAATATATTATAATACTAAATTACGACACGTGCATCGTCATTGTCGCAGAAACTAGTAGCTGAAGAATTTATGTTGAATACAAAGCTGTTAAAAAAACAAATCATGGTTGGTCATCGTATATTTAGATAAAAAAACTACAATTTAAAAAAAGCAGACTACACATTTTAAATAGAAGGGACTATGATCAAATTTATATGAAATAAAATGTCCTATTCAATTCATATAGTACGTTAGAGTAACAAATATCATCCATAAACTTTAACGACACTCTTAATTAATACTGAGAGAGTTATATACAACAGTGGTGCACGAGAACACTTATTATTTGTATCCTTAAATCATGCGCTCTCAGAATCTTCTGAATGGCTCGACACGACCCAATATAAAGTAAACGTGATCTAATCTTCTTTAAAAGGGACAACAAAAAATACATAAAAATACATGAATAAAAAATGCAGAACTACAGTCTATTCTGTCCAAATAGTAGTATTCAATGTATTTCTTATTTTGTTAGGTGCCACCGCTTCTCCGATTCCTAGAATACGTCTAGCAATTTTCTACATTTTATGGTTAAGCATGTACAGATCACGTGCAAAATTATCTATTAATTCATTATAGCCTAATCCTCACTCACAAAGGCAGCCAACCAGCAAGATTATGTTTAAAAATAGCTCACCGTGGAAAAACCATGAATAACAATAACTTGACACTTCTTACATACGCCCGCCCGTATTAGGCAAAGCTATGCTATGTCAGACTACTGATAAATATTCATAATTTTTTTCGAAGTTAGTTTAGTCGAATTGATCAGGAGAAGTTTTGGCGGGAGATATCTTTAATTAGTTTTGAGTAGATGGTTGGTTTCGTTGAAGTCTAAGTTTTCAACCATCTACTCGTACAAGTTCTGAACTTTTGAGTAGGTGGTTGGTTTTTGCACCACCTACAAGTATTGTTTCAGGTACCTTTAAGTTTTGTTTAAATAGATTTAAGAAGTGGTTGATTTGCATGAAACCAAGGTTTAGAACCACCTACGAGTTTGTTAAACGTAACAAGTTATGAATAACATATAAGTTTTGTTGTACCACGTTAAAGTTTCAAAATATAAGCTTTGAAAGATTACTTGGTGGATTATTTCTGACATAACCCTTAAACTATACTATGTAGATACATGTATTTTATAGATAAATTAGTCAAACATAGAACTAAGGATTGTGTTTGTGTTCAAGTTTTGCACAACAACTTTCATATCACATACTTAGTATAAACATTTAAAGAATATCAGAAAGACACAGATTCAATAATCCCCTGTTTACTAAGTACCTTCTAGATCGGATGAAAGCATAAACTACGACCAAATCGGATTAATTACATGACAAATGAGATCCCTTAAATATCGAATCAAGCATTAAAGATCTGTAGCCTTCATCAGTTGAGTTTTTGTTTACCTGTTTAGTTAAAGAAGCAACCATTTTTTTACCAATGCTTCGACTTTTCTTAACTTTGCGAACTCTGCTGACTGGCTTTTTCTTTCAGGTTCAAAGCAGTACACCTATGTTTCATCACGTCACATCATGATATTTAGACAGCCAATGACTGTCCTCCGTTAAACATTTTTATCATTTTACGGCAATCCATGACATGCAGTCATTTCTAGTCCTCCGTTAAGTCATGCAAAGTATCCATCGAGTGCAAAGCTTTCTTCAGATGCACATGTAAAATGTTTGGCACCTGGTTCATTCCAATGCCTAACAAAGCGGGATTTTGCTGGCAAGTAATTTTTTTGTAAGTTGTCGTACGGTGTCAATATTAGAGTCTGTAACTAGTGGCGTAGCTAGACGTGAGTGAAGTAGGCCGTCGCCCCCGGCCTCGCACTTGGGGGGGATCCTTAAACGCTCGAGGCTCCTTTAAAATGCGATGCCCAAAGACTTGAGCACAGATGACTAATTACTTTGATGACATTTACGCTCGAAGTGTATTTGTTTCGGGCCTCATAAGAAGTCCAATCATAAGTGAGATTTCGAGGTCATTGCTTTAAACACCGCTACAGTTACATTGACAGTAAACAAGACTTTTGACTATGAGCAGGGGCAGATCGTGAATCGTTTTTTTTGGTAGGACCTGGACCAGGTGATCAGGTCCCTCCCATATTAACGCCACACCTAACTAGGTCCCATCCCGGGAGATGCCGCAGGCTTCCATGGATGGTATCACCGCACAATTTAGGCGATGAATTTCCCCCCACGGATCTCTCCAGGGGCAGTTCAGGGTAAGGCTGAAATACTTGTTATGCCGTTTGACCTTGACCTCTGTTTACCCCACGCTAATGAGCAAGCGGGTAAGAGCTGCACCTCCGCGTTTACTGTTAAACCACAGGGATGCCTAATGTGCGCGCTAACCGTAGGCTCTGATCTTTTGGACGACAAACTACCCCTAAAGACTACATAACAAGGGAGGTTGTTGTTGAGAAAAAAAAACAATTGACAGTCTCGCAAATTAAAATGTAACATGTTTCCAAAAAAATACTAGTTTCGAATTCAATTTTTGTTTTTCATTCTTCTATTGTAAGTGGTCAGATCCAAAGACTTTCAGTATGCCCCAGGTATATATTTATAATAGAAATATATAGTCAGGTTATTACTATGATTTAATTAACAAAAAAAAACGATTACAATCGATGTGCAAATGGCAAAGATCCCGCCTGTCCAGTACTCGTTTTAAAATTGCGTAACAATTAAATAGATCGCAAGAAAGAGTAAAAGAAGTTTTAACTCACAATCAGTAATTTCTCAGCTTTTCCTAACTCCTTCCCAAGTTTTAGATCAGCAGCGATGACCATGGACTCTTGCACCGACAGCCTGGGCTGAAGCAGATCATCCTGCATGATGTACGTGCTTAGTTTCTTGAACAAACACATGTCGCGTAAATGACCATTCACTGTGATGCGTCCGGTCACACCGTTGGAACTGAAAAAGAAAGACAAATGTAAAAATGGGGTTAATGGTCCAAAGAAAAAACACTATTTTTAACGTGAAAAGATCATCTCATCTTATCTCAACATCAGTTTCGAATTATTACACGTAAAAAATTTGAATTATTTTTAGGGTTCCGTACATTTAAATGAAAAAATTGGAAACTCGAAAAGATTACTCGGGTGTCTGTTTGTCCCGCTGTCACAGGCATCTACTGCGAATCTGCGTAAGTTTATGGCACACCATGTAGTAAATGTATACATAATATTATATAAAATATATTATATATATGCCCTTTTTATATCCTCCATTGTATTTATATGGCGTATCGTTACTAATACCAATACAATAGAGACACAAACAGACCAAGAAAAAATGGCTTTTAATTTATCATAGACAGACTAACCAAACTACTTATTTATTAATTGTAATATGTCTATACGTTTATTCTCTCTTCAAAAGTTTTAATTTCTTGTAAAATTAAATTTTTCAAAACGATCGTGTAAAAACGAAGATTATTACAATTGATTAAAATTTGAAGTCATTATGATACTATGCAATTCATCATCATCAGCCTATTGCCGTCTGCTGTTGAACGAAGACCTCTCTCAAGGAGCGTCAACCAACCCGGTCTTGGGCAATCCGCATTCACCCGCTGCCAGCCATTTCTTCAAATTCTTTACCAGATACGGTCCCTCCTTTTTTGTATTTGTTCTATAGTACAAGGTGATGTTAGGAAATGCTTTTTTGTACATTTAAACATCTATTACTAAACCGGTATAAAAACCTCCCATTCATACTTTTGATTATAATTGATTAGTTCAAAATGACTGAAATTTGTAATCAAACAATAATCAAGTTTTATTAATAATTCTTATAAATTACACGTGTCCAATATAATTTATTAAACAAGTTCAGTATTTCTAGCTAAGTTTTTTTTTATATTAATTAAAAATCAATATAAACTTCCATTAAAATCAATTGTTTTTTATTTTTAATGGAATCAATGTTATTTTAGTTCATCACTAATTGACTATTTATCGACCTACTAAAAAAAAAGTAATTTGACGCTCCACACGCCAGGCATTCTGCCAGAGTCTCCTGAGTCCTCCCACCGCAGTGGTAGCACTCAGGCGTTGGCTCCTGGCGGATCAGACGGACAGGTGATCCCGGAAGCATCCTTTTCCAGTGATCACCTACGTCAGCTGGTATGAGAGGATCCCGTGGTGCCTCTCGAGCCAATCCTCCATACAGGGTGATAACGCCGGGTCTTACCCCAGTGATAACGGCTTGCCCGTAGTATACTACACTTTTTTTTTTTTTGCGGAAATCCCCTCGGATACCACCTATCGGTGGCATGTCGGACTCGAACCGACTAAAACCGCACGCCGTCTCGGGTACTAATAGCCGGGGAACCAGGTATACCCTAGAAAGGAAGTCCCTGGTGCCCCGACATACCTCGTGCCATCTACAGACGTGTAGACGACCCCCCCCCCGTGTGGGAACCCCATGTTCCCTTTGCTCTCTGGAAGCGAGCGCGCTTCGCAACGCGCTCGCCGCCATCCCGGCCTGCTTCTGCTAGGGTGACAGATGGCCTCACCTGTCACCCCCAGGCCTGCGCTTATGGAGGACAGAGGTCGTTCTGCGACCTCCGGCGCCTGAGTCGCCTGCGGTACCTAGCCCGTTCCCGGGCCTGGCGGGCCGGGAGAGTTCTAAACCTCTCCCGGTCCCGGTCCGCCGTCTCCTTCGCGAGCATAACTTGCTCGCAGAAGGCGTAGTATACTACCCTGGAAACTAATCAATCTACTTTCGGTTTTTCGTATAAGGTAGATATTCATCGCCTCTTCGTCTCTGTAGATTGTTTATGAATGTCACAAAAAACACGCAATGTATCGTAACGCATCGCAAAGCTCGAGGGCCCATAGTGACTAGCCGGCGAGAAAGGATGTGGTCCAAGTGTACGCTTTGTGGCTATTATGTTAAAACTATAAGTTTTTATGGAGAAATCTAGTTGTCAAGTCAATATTCTGTGTGATATAGGAAATGTGTGTTTCATAGATAATATTTTATTTCTTATTTATTTATTAAAAAAGGGTAAATACAGATTAAAATAAACAGCGATTTAATCAAAGTATCTTTATTTCATATTTTTTTTACTTACGTCATACCTCAATACACAGAATAACAGCAATCTGTTTTGTCAAATATTTAGCAAAATAAATGTGTACCTACCTATAGCGAGCCCGTTTCCAAGGGGTAGAGCCTTATGACCAGACAAGGCAAATAAACTATCGGCCAATCTTTTTAAATTACTATTTTTTTTTGCATATTCATATTTTTCATATCTTAGCTTTAGTTGTCACATAAAGGATAATGTCCATTTTCTAAGAACATTTGGCTTGACGTAAACAGTTACTATTTGGACAAATGAGTTATATCACTTCAAAGCCCGCAAACGCCTAGCGAAACCAGTTTTCAGCACAAGCAAAAACCAGTTTCTTAGTCAACTGAATAGTTTTTTGATGGAATGTTACTGATTTAGTTGATGATATTATTATTGAATTTTTTACATCCTTCATCATCACAATCATTTTCTTCGACTCACTCACAGTCATTGGCATTATTTTGATCTTCATTGCTGTTATTAAGAAAAGCTTGCTCAGCATTATAGTAAAAATCTGATTCAATTTTCTCTGTAATGATTTTGTAGCAGTTTGCAAACATTATTGACTTTCTCCTTTTCAAATTAATGGCTACAGGTAAGCTATGGGTCATATGTTACATACAAATTTACCTTTTTTGGTAAGCTTTTTAAATGTTCTTTCGCTTCTATAATTTTCTTCTCCTTGAATAGCAACATTCGTTTTTCCTTTGAATAACAAAAATCTCTTTGAAATATTGAAGCCGAAATGCCGAACCTGGAGGTTTAAGAACATCGTTTGTTTCAGTTTTCCAAATTATCACAGGCACTTCTTCAGTCAGGTGAAATGTTTTCGCATATTGCATTAAAATTTGAACATACTGCTGTTATTTTATTATCACTTCTTTTCTTCGAATGTCTTTTTCTATTTTGGCGAAAATCCTATCGGCCGGTAGGAAAGAATGACCGACCACTGGAAATATTATTTCCATTTTTTTTAGTTGGGTGGGTGCATGCATAGGCATAGTATATTAAGGTTTTTCAAAGTAGGTATGGTAAACTGCACCTGCGATTGCATTTGAACCTTTTGGCCTCTCTGTGGCGTACCAGTAGTAACTCCAAACATTTTCAGTTTCAACTTACTTTTAAAGTTGCCAATCACTACAGGGAAATTATAAAAAATATACTGCCTGCTAAAATATGCTGACTGATCATGGTGTTTTGGTAGACAATGGTTTTTCCTGATAGTCAAAATAGAGTGTCATCACTTGACCGTCGTCATCCTTCACTAAAGCATAGAAAGCTTTAGCTTTTAAATTATGCACTCATTTCATCAACAGCCTTTAATAGTCCACTGCTGGACATAAGTCTCTCCTTAGGAAGGAGGTTTTGGCCTACTATACCACGCTGGACAAACGTGTTGGTATAGGGTTTGTGTCAAGTTTTCCTTCTCTCTGCAGTGCTGTTGTTCTGCGTAGGTTTCTCCCTTAGTCCGCTCTTATGACACCCACGAGATGAATCGGTGTGGTGACACTCGTTTTGTGAGCATCGATGATTGCTTTTCTTCATTAGTCCTAGTCACCTTTATTTTTTCTAATAGCTCGGTCCAGCGAGAGCACACATCAGTCTGAGAGTTCCCAAACCGATTAAGTTCAATTCTTTTCTCAAAAAAGATTGCTTGACTTTATGTTCCGAAGATGCACCGCTATTAAAAAGACGCCAAGAGAGATACTAGTATCAAACCGAATTATATATTATGGTAGTAGCAGAATTCAGAATTAGTACATTTATAAAAATAAATCACAGCACAGTCTTCATCCGCCAGCCGTCGCCTTCTAGCTGTAAAGTCCAACTTGTAAAAATATCTAAAAAGATTTACTTGCAGAAAGAAATATCATTTCATTTCATCGATTAAATTACTATTCGTAAAGTTAAATGTCTTTTATTTTTATTATTGTTTCAAACGCTCATAAATGAACTAATATTTTTGAAATATAATTATGAAATTAACAAATAAAATAATTATTTGTTAAAAATCCTGTCTACTTTTTAACTCTTAATCCTGTTTTACTTATATCGATTATTTATAATCGACTCCATTCCACTCATTTTTTGAATATAAATCACTACTAGCAACATTACATTTAAATCAACAGCTCTTAAATGCCCCCGCAGCGTACAAAACACTTTTAATTAAAAGAAATAAGCTCCGGTCCAAACAAAACGAAAATATTTTTTTTTAATGTACCCACAATTAATGACATAAATGTTAATTTGCGAGCTTCCTGTCCACGCCAAGCCAGATGTGGACTATTTCCTTTTCGTTTTTTTTAGCATCGCGCGTATAACTTCACTTTAATAGCCTCCATCAAGTAAATGGGCTCTCTAACCTCCATTTTCCTATCTATTATGTATTGAAACCTCTTGTCTCCTGCAACAATCATTTATTTGAAAATATAATAATAATAACTTCACACATCTCACACACGGCAGCCTGGTCCCAAACTAGTCAGGGCCTGTACTATGGTAACCAATCTGCTGACAAACTTATACGAGTATATATTAATAAATACATACATATTATAGAAAAATTACACCCAGACAATTATTCTGTACAAATGCTTGTGCTCATCACATAATATTTGTCCTGGATGGGAATCGAATCAGACCAACAGGCCCTGTGCAATGCATTTTTCAGTAACTCATATTTTTTTTAATAAAGTCATTTTGAAGGTGTTTGTGTTACTACGTCGAAGCCCTTGAATCGGTGGACATCTTTTTATGCTTTGCACAGTCGCTTAAAAAGTATGTACATTATGGATACTTGGATATACTATGCTTTGTTTTACATCTT